GGCTTAGATGTCTCCTTCAGGGAATCTTCTCTGAACCTTCCCATCCCACAGAATTTTCACCATATCATTCCTATCACACTCAAAAGTCATCACTTGTTCTAGATCTGTTCTCCACTGATGCAGGAAGTTAAGGGCTGAGACCACATCCTGTTTATTCAATGATGCATTCAAGTACCATATGCCACATAGTAGGTGTTCAATGATAATGTGCTACATGATACTAGAAACATGCCAGGCACATAATAAATAGTCAATAATTAATAATATGTGAATAATTAACATGCAAGATCACATTTATGTCATTTCCTGGTATTCTTCATATTCTGTGAATTGCTATATAGGAATTTGTTATTACACCCTTCTTCACTAACACACACTTTCTTCTGCCTTCTGTCTCTAAATATTCTGGGGTACGGCCTTCACAATCACCTTTCATTCTGTGGAACATTTGTCTATGCCACAGTATTTCTGTTTGCTTATTTGATATTGTTCTGTTTCCTGCTACAGTTAAAACTCACTTTGATCCAGCTGACAAGTAGCTAAATCTATTTAGTTCAAGCCCACAGATAAATATTATGTGTCAAATGCCATGCTAAGCCCTGGGAATACAGCAGTATGTTAAAAGAGTACTGCTCATCACAGAGTTTAACTAAGGATGAGACAGACTTTTACGGTTACACAAAAAGTTAAAATTGTAATAAGTACTATGAGAAAGTTTATAGCACATCCTGAAAACATCTGGCTACCAAAATTTTTAATTTTTCCTTGTGGGGCATATTTTGTTGAAAACAAATTAACGAGCCTGAGGTTTATTTCAAACATTATGAAAAAACAAACAAAACTCCAAAAAATTATTGATCGTTGAAATAGTTCATTTCTTTCATGTTCATTTCTCCTCCCAATAAAAATGGTTTACTTCACGGAAAACATATGTTTTCTCTTTATACTATTTGTTTGCATGTAGAACACTGGAACACACATTTAAAATATTTTTGTGTGTGAAATAATGCCATTTGCAGCAACATGGGTGAATCTAGAAATTGTCACACTAAGTGAAGTATGTCAGAGAAAGACAAATATCATACATAACTTACAGGTGAAATATAGAAGAGTGGTACAAATGAACTTATTTACAAGACAGAAATAGAGGCACATATGAAGAAAATAAACTTGTTACCAGGGAGGAAAGATGGAGGAGAGATAAATTGGGAGATTGGAACTGATATATACACACTACTATATATAAATAGGTAATAAGGAACTGCTATGTAGCACAGGTAGCTCTATCCAATACTCTGTAATGACTTACATGGAAAAAGATCCCAAAAAAGAGTGGATATATGTATAACTGATTCACTTTGCTGTACAACAAAAATTAACACAATATTGTTAATCAGCTATACTTCAATAAAAAAAATTTTTTTTAAGTAGGAAAAAAAATCCCTAATCAAATCTAGGCCAGAATTATTCAGCTTGCCAGGTTGGCTTTTTGAAATCATATACAAGTGTATATATCTCCACAGTAAAATTTTTCTTCCATACATATATTAATGTAGAAAAGAATAAATAGAACTAGATCATTTGAAATGACCATTACAACTATAATCTACAGACTGGATCATTTAAAGACTGTTGGAATAACACAATAGCATAAAATTATGCTTTTCCATTCAATCACTGTCACTAGAAGAGATTTTAGTTCTCTTTGTAGTTGTTCAGTCACTAAGTGGTGTCCGACTTCTTGTGATCCCATGGACTGCAATATGCCAGGCTCCTACGTCCTCCACTATGTCCTGGCATTTGCTCAAATTCATGTCCATTGAATTGATGATGCTATCTAAACACCTCATCCTCTGCTGCCCCCTTCTCCTTTTGCCTTTAATCTTTCCCAGCATCAGAGTCTTTCCCAATGAGCTGGCTCTTTGTATCAGGCGGCCAAAGTACTGGAGTTTAAGCATCAGTTCTTCCAATAAATTTTCAGAGTTGATTTCCTTTAGGATTGACTGGCTTGATTTCCTCGCAGCCCAAGGGAATAAAGACTCTTCTCTTTATTCTCTCAAGAGTATTCTCCAGCACCATGAGTTGAAAGCACCAATTCTCTGGCGCTCAGAGAATTCTTTATGGTCCAACTCTAACATCTGTACATGAATCCTGGAAAAACCATAAGTTTGACTATACTGAACTCTGTTGGCAAAGTGATGTCTCTGCATTTTAATATTCTGTCTAGGGCTTCCCAGGTGGCACTATTGGTAAAGAACTACTGCTGTTATAGGAGACGTAAGAGATGTGGGTTCAAGCCTTGGGTTGGGAAAATCCCCTGGAGGAAGACATGGCAATCAACTCCTCTATTGCTGAGAGCATCCCAGGGACAGAGGAGCCTGGGGGATTACTGTCCATTGGGTTGCAAAGAGTTGTACACGACTGAGTGACTCAGCATGCTAGGTTTGTCATAGCTTCCTTTCCAAGGAGCAAGTTTCTTTTAATTTCATGGCTGCAATCACCATCCACAGTGATTCTGGAGCCCAAGGGGAAAAAAAAAATCTGTCACTGCTTCCACTTTTTCCTCTTCTGTTGGCCATGAAGTGATGGGACACAATGCCTTGATCTTAGTTTTTTTTAATGCTGAGTTTCAAGCCAGGTTTTTCACTCTCCTGTTTCATGCTTATCAAGAGGCTCTTTAGTTCCTCTTCAATTTCAGCCATTAGAGTGGTATCATCTGCATATCTGAGGTTGTTGATATTTCTCCCAGCAATCTTGATTCCAGCTTGTGATTCACCAGCCTGGCATTTGGCATGATGTACTCTGCATAGAAGTTAAATTAACAGGGTGACAATGAATAGCCTTGTCATACTCTTTTACCAATTTTGACCAGTCAGTTGTTCCATGTGAGGTTCTAACTGTAGCTTCTTGGCCAGCATGTAGGTTTCTTACGAGACAGGTAAGGTGGTCTGGTATTCCCATCTCTTGAAGAATTTTCCACAGTTCGTTGTGATCCACACCGTCAACGGCTTTCATGTGGTCAATGAAGCAGAAGCAAATGTTTTTCTGGAACTCCCTTGCTTTCTCTATGATCCAACAAATGTTAACAATTTATCTCTGGTTTTTCTATCTTTTCTAAATCCAGCTTGAACGTCTGGAAGCTCTTGGTTCATATACTGCTAAAGCCTAGCTTGAAGGATTCTGAGCATAAACTTTGCTAGCATGTGAAATGAGTGCAATTGTGTGATAGTTTTAAGATTCTTTGGCAATGCCCTTTTTTGGGACTGGACTGAAAACAAACCTTTTCCAGTCCTGTGGCTACTGCTGAGTTTTCCAAATCTGCTTACATATTGAGTGCAGCACTTTAACAGCATCATCTTTAAAATGATCTTTAGGATTTTAAGTAGCTCACCTGGAATTTCGTCACCTCCAGTAGCTTTGTATGTAGTAATGCTTCCTAAGGGTCACTTGACTTCATACTCTAGGATGTCTGGCTCTAGGTAAGTCATCACACCATCATGGTTATCGGCGTTATTAAGACCTTTGTTGTATGAGTCTTCTGTATATTCGTACCACTTCTTAATCTCGTCTATTTCTGTTAGGTCCTCACCATTTCTGTCCTTTATTGAGCCCATCCTTGGTGAAATGTTCCCTTGATATCTCCAATTTTCTTGAAGAGTTCTTTGCACTGTTCATTTACGAAGGCCTTCTTATCTTTCCTTGCTATTCTCTGGAACTCTGCATTCAGCTGGGTATACATTTTTTCCTTTCTCCCTTGCCTTTCACCTTTCTTCTTTTCCTCAGCTATTTGTAAAGCCTCAGACAACCTTCTCAGACAAACACTCTGCATTCTTTTTTTTTTTTTTTCACTCTACATTCTTGTATTTCTTTTTCTTTGGGCTGGTTTTGGTCACTGCCTCTTGTACAATGTTATGAACTTCTGCCCATAGTTCTTCAGGCACCCTATCTACCAGATCAATCCCTTGAATCTATTTGTCACCTCCACTGTATAATCATAAGGGATTTGATTTAGGTCATACCTGAGTGGCCTAATGGTTTTTCTCTACTTTCTTTAATCTAAGCCCAAATTTAGCAATAAGGAGCTCATGATCTGAACCACAGTCCAAGTACTGAATTTTGGACTTTTTTGTTGACTATGAGAGCTATTTCATTTCTTCAAAGGGATTTTTGCCCACAGTAGTAGATATATTGGTCATCTGAATTAAATTTGCCCATTCCAGTCCATCTTAGTTCACTGATTCCTAAGATGTTGATGTTTACTTTTGCTATCTCCTGCTTAACCACATCTAATTTCATTGATTCATGGACCTAACATTCCAGGTTCCTATGCAATACTGTCCTTTACAGCATCAGACTTTACTTTTACCACCAGACACGTACACATCTGAGCATTGTTTCTGCTTTGGCCCAGCCACTTAATTCTTTCTGGAGCTATTAGTAACTGCCCTCTGCTCTTTGCCAGTAGCATACTGGGCATCTTCTACTTGGGGGTGGGGGGGCTCATCTTTCAGTGTCATATCTTTTTGCTTTTCATACTATTTGTTGTGTTCTAATGGCAAGAATAATGGAGTGGGTTGTCATTTCTATCTCCAATGGACCATGTTTTGCCAAAACTCTTCGCTATGACCCATCCACCTTGGGTGGCCCTGCAAGGCATGGCTCATAGCTTCATTGAGTTGTGCAAGCCCCTTCACCTTGACAAGGCTGTTACCCAGGAAGGGGGATTTTAATTCTTGGACAAAGTTAAAAAACTACTTATCTACTAGTTGTATAACTTGGTCAGTGAATGATGTTTTATAAGTAGTAGGGCTCATTCTTTTATACAGAGAAGAAACAATAATTTAACATGCTTCAGATAAAAGTAAACATAGGTGAATTATAAAACAGAAATATGAAGTACAAATGAAATTTTTAAAAATTCTGTCCCATGGCCAGTGATTCTAAAAATTACACTTACTTATTATCTTTATTATGACATATTTCCCAATTATTTTACTCACCCAAGACCTTCAGGATAAAGTGTTTGCTGACTTCTCCTGCTTCGTTCGAGGCAATGCAGGTGTACCGTCCTGAATCTTCAGTTTCTGCTTTGATGAGCTGAAGGACCATTCCTTGAGAGCTGATTGACAGATGGGCATCTAGACGCAGAGGCTGACCATCTCTAAGCCAGGACATCCTGGGAGCTGGGGTTCCATCAGTAAAACATGTCATGGAGGTGGAACTACCCTTGACAATTGTGATTTCCTCTGTTCCCATCCCATTGTCCAGACTTGGTGGTACTATATAGAAAGCAAAATTATATATCTATTATTATTTGATATCAATTTAGATTAAAAATTTAAATGGTTCACTTAGTTCTATAGTGTTTCCATGATCTATAAAATTATAGAATTTAAAATAGCATATAATTAATGACTTTACTATAAGAACATGTGTTATAAGCTAATTTCTAACTTTGCAAAATATTAATAATAAACTCTCAGGATTGTTTCCTTGTTGAACATACAAAACTAAATGTGGTTTAACTTTGGTCATTTTTTAACATTTTAGATTTTCACCTTTAATTTATTATAATATATTCGAGATATTATATCCTCTTCTAACAACACAAGAGAAGACTCTACACATGGACATCACCAGATGGTCAATATTGAATGCAGATTGACTATATTCTTTGCAGCCAAAGATGGAGAAGCTCTATACAGTCAGCAAACACAAGAACAGGAGCTGACTGTGGCTCAGATCATGAACTCCTTATTGCCAAATTCAGACTTAAATTGAAGAAAGTAGGGAAAACCACTAGACCATTCAGGTATGACCTAAATCAAATCCCTGTGATTATACAGTGGAAGAGACAGACAGATTCAAGGGATTAGGTCTGATAGACTGAGTGCCTGAAGAACTATGGATGGAGGTTCGTGACACTGTACAGAAGACAGGGATCAAGACCATCCCCAAGATAAAGAAATGCAAAAAGGCAAAACAGTTGTCTGAGGAGGCCTTACATATAGCTGAGAAAAGAAGAGAAGCAAAATGCAAAGGAGAAAAGGAAAGATATACCCATTTGAATGCAGAGTTCCAAAGAATAGCAAAGAGAGATAAGAAAGCCTTCCTCAGGGATCAGTGCAAAGAAATAAAGGAAAACAATAGAATGCGAAAGACTAGAGATCTCTTCAAGAAAATCAGAGATACCAAGGGAACATTTCATGCAAAGATGGGCTCAATAAAGGACAGAAATGGTATGGACCTAACAGAAGCAGAAGATGTTAAGAAGAGGTGGCAAGAATACACAGAATAACTGTACAAAAAAGATCTTCATGACCCAGGTAACCACGAAGGTGTGATCACTCACCTAGAGCCAGACATCCTGGAATGTGAAGTCAAGTGGGCCTTAGAAAGCATCACTATGAACAAAGCTAGTGGAGATGATGGAATTCCAGTTGAGCTATTTCAAATCCTAAAAGATGATGCTGTGAAAGTGCTGCACTCAATATGCCAGCAAATTTGGAAAACTCAGCAGTGGCCACAGGACTGGAAAAGGTCAGTTTTCATTCCAATCCCAAAGAAAGGCAATGCCAAAGAATGCTCAAACTACCAAACAATTCCACTCATCTCACACACTAGTAAAGTAATGCTTAAGATACTCCAAGGCAAGCTTCTACTGTACATGAACCTTGAGATGTTCAAGCTGGTTTTAGAAAAAGCAAGGAACCAGAGATCAAACTGTCAACATCCGCTGGATCATGGAAAAAGCAAGAGCGTTCCAGAAAAACATCTACTTCTGCTTTATTGATTATGCTGAAGCCTTTGACTGTGTGGATCACCACAAACTGGAAAATTCTGAAACAGATGGGAATACCAGACCATCTAACCTGTCTCCTGAGAAATCTGTATGCAGGTCAGGAAGCAACAGTTAGAACCGGACATGGAATGGCAGACTGGTTCCAAATAGGGAAAGCAGTATATCAAGGTTGTATATTCTCATCCTGCTTATTTAATTTATATGCAGAGTACATCATGAGAAATGCTGGGCTGGATGAATTACAATCTGGAATCAAGATTGCCAGGAGAAATATCAATAACTGCAGATACGCAGGCGACACCACCCTTACGGCAGAAAGTGAAGAACTAAAAAGCCTCTTGAAAGTGAAAGTCGAGAGTGAAAAAGTTGGCTTAAAGCATTCAGAAAACTAAGATTATGGCATTTGATCCCATCACTTCATGGTGAATAGATGGGGAAACAGTGGAAACAGTAACAGACTTTATTTTGGGGGGCTCCAAAATATCTGCAGATGGTGACTGTAGCCATGAAATTAAAAGACCCTTGCTCCTTGGATGAAAAGTTATGACCAACCTAGACAGCGTATTAAAAAGCAGAGACATTACTTTGCCAACAAAGGTCCATCTAGTCAAAGCTATGGTTTTTCCAGTAGTCACGTATGGATATGAGAGTTGGACTATAAAGAAAGTTGAATGCCAAAGAATTGATGCTTTTGAACTGTGGAGTTGGAGAAGACTCTTGAGAGTCCACTGGAGTGCAAGGAGATCAAACCTTTAGGGTGCACATACTAAAGGAAGTTAGTCCTGAATATTCATTGGAAGGACTGATGCTGAAGCTGAAACTCCAATACTTTGGCCACCTGATGTGAAGAACTGACTCGTTAGAAAAGACCCAGATGCTGGGAAATATTGAAAGTGGGAGAAGAAGGGGATAATAGAGGATGAGATGGTTGGATGACACCACCAACTCAATGGACATGAGTTTGAGTAAACTCTGGGAGTTGGTGATGGACAGGGAGGCTGGAGGTGCTGCAGTCCATGGGGTCACAAAGATTCAGACACAACTGAGTGACTGAACTGAACTGATATTATTCCAGAAGTATACTTTTAACTACCTTGTATGGAATAAACAAAATAATAAGTTCCAGAGTCAATTTTATATAATCCAACATAAATCATTTTTAGCCTATGGTAAATAGTTACTTAACTTTTCTGAGATATTCTTGGGGATTGTGAAGTCTCCGGTCTAGCAAATCTTGAGAAATGGAATGTTTTGAGTTTTATCGCTGTCTAACATCACAGACAGATATTCAGTATACACACAAATATCCATTCATATTTTAAATACTCCCAGACGATAACACATTAGAAAACAGTCTTAACTGTCTTTTTGTATGAAAAGACTGGTCTTGTGTCGGATTGAAATGCTACTTTAAAAAACTGACATTTCATTTAATGCTAAATTCCAGGTTACAAAAGTATTTTGACAGACAGTATGCTTCAATATATATGTATCCTCTGGGAAAAAAGGCATTCTGCCCTAGTTAGTAAGATCCTATTTTACCAATCTTTCCTGATATGTCAATATTTAAATTAAGCCTGTTGCTTAATACTGGACACATAGTAAAGTACTAGGGACGTTTCTGGTAACATACCCAAAACTTGAAGACTATAATGTTTATTATCCACCCCGGCTCTGTTGGATGCCACACAAGTATATACAGCAACATCAGATGCCTGAGCTCTCACAATCCTGAAAAACAATTTGACCCAACACTTCATAATTTCATCCCACTTTATAATTTGATATTTGATCAACAAATACAAATAAAAACACTTGTGATAATACAGAGATTATAGAAGGTGATTTATTTGGGGAAATTTTAGTTATATAGATTTTAACCATCCATCAGAAAACATAGACGCCTCCAGTGAAATCTCTTTGACAAAGCTGATTAGGTACTAAGAGTAAGCCACTGAATATGTAACACAATGTGAGAGATGAATATTTTTCAAATACATATTAATAGAGGATGAAAACCACATGATTATAGTAAGCATCTTCCCATCATTTTGCCATACAAAGTTTTAGCTAAAATAGCAGCTCTTGGAAATATATATATGATAGATATAAGTCTATGAAAGACTTATTGTATACAAATTTACTAAAACGTGAACATTCAAATAAGAATAATAAAGCATTTCAAATTTATATTTGCCATTCTCCCTCTTCTTAAAAAAAAAAAACAAAACTGAAAGGGAAACAAAGTAAAAAATGTAGGAAAAGACATTTTTAAAACATTATTTAGATGAAGCTGTTGTTGTTTACTAGCTTAGTTGTGTTCAACTTTCTTGCTACCCCATGGGCTGTAGCCCACCAGACTCCTTGGTCCATGGAATTTCCCAGGCAAGAATACTGGATTGGGTTGCCTGCCATTTCTTCCTCCAGGGGATCTTCCCAGCCCGGGGATTGAACCCATGTCTCTTGCATCTCTTGCAGGCGGATTCTTTATCAGGGAGCCAACTTTGGTACAACTTTACCAAAGTTAAGGTTTACAATCATAGTAACTCTGTGTAGCAAATCACACACAATAAAAGCTGACCTGATAACTTGTCCTCCAGATAGCAACCGGATATGAGAGGAGAGAGGCAGAGGAAGTCCATTCTTTAGCCAGTTTATCTGTGGCGGAGGCATTCCTGTGGCTCTGCATTCAATATTTATTGATGTATCCACCAAAGCCATTAATTTCTCTGCTTCTTCTTTATTACCTCTAATTGCAGGTGGAACTATGTCATGCAGAAAATGAGAGAGGAGGGAATGGGTTTATTACTAGTTCAAATCATTTACCCATATTTCTGCTTTGTATCCCAAAAGGAAATAACGAGGACATCAGATTTTAGAACTAAATGCTTCAGACACCTATGGCTTCATTTCGTCTGATAGATTCTAAGGCAGCATAATCAAAAGAGGATGAAATTTCATATTTACCATAGACATTTAAATTAAAAATCCGGTCTTCTTCTCCAGCAGGATTAGTAGCAACACACGTGTACTTCCCCATGTCAGATGGGAGAGCTCCGTAAATGTTTAATGTGCTGCCATCTGCAGTCACCCTGTAGGAAAGAGTATAACAGATGAACTGAGATGATTTGTATGGAGCTAGCTATTTCTGGAAAACTCACTTGGATTATTATATTCTTAAAAACAAAAAAAGAGTCACGCTAAAATGCATCTTCATCTTGGATATAATGGTTCAAAGCTTTTTCATTAAGGACATGGAAATCAGAGCTAGTGAAACTGAAGGTGATCTCAGGTAACCAACTAAACTTCTTACAGTAATGGGTGTCAAACACCCACTGCTGCCTCCTGAGGAAAAGGAAATGAACAACATCAGGAATTTTTCTATCCAAATCACAGGCAAAGGCATGTTTTTCTCAGAATAGAATGTTTTGTCATTACTTATCAATATAAGATTGGAATTAAATGAAAATTATAAAAATTTTGGTATAAAAACTGAAGAATGTTTATAATGTTTTAATGAGAAATTAAAGTGAAAAATCTAGCTATAAACAACTTAGTATTAGTCTAAATGAGAAGGAGCAAGATGGAATAATTTATTTAAACAGTGACAACAGCTTAGTATTTATGTATGGGTGTCATTTGCAAAATTTTTTCCACAAATTGCTACAGCTTTCTCTTTGAATGACATAATAGTGAATACTAACAATGTGATTACATTATCAATGATATCTAAATTAAGATTATTACATTATTCTATTCACACACCATTTATTATCAAATAAAACTTGCTATGTTTTATAAAGAGGTTAAATTACTATCTACAGTTATTCTTACAATAGTCATTTTATTAGACTCTCCTAGTGTCGAGTAAATACTCCATTTCTACTATATCATATTATTAAATATAATTATTAAGAGTTACAATTTTATTTTCTGGGTCTATTTTATTTTTTCTTCTTCAAAACACAAATTTTAAAATCCCATGAGTTTAACCATATGAATAAACAAAAAGCAAGCTGCCATGACTAAAGGAAAACAGTAAGTTGACTTTGGAAAAATTACTTCATTTGACGGATAAATTGGCCCACTCACAAACCTACATATATTGTGCAGCTGGGAACAAATAATCAAAAAATTGAAAATAAGAATAAATCTATTTGAGATCTTAATATAAGATGAGAAGTGATAGATCCTAAATTCCTAGGTAGAAATATTACCTTTTAGAATAACTTAAAGTCCCACCAACTATCTAGTACTCGGTTTGGAAATGGGTTGATATCACAGCTGATTTAATAAAAATAGTTAAATATTGGTTAACTTTTGAGGGATGTCCAACCAGACAAGTGAAATGCAAAATGTATCTCTAAACTAAAACATTATTTGGCAATTCACCTAATCTTGTAAAGGGGACTAATACCTAAATTTTAACATAAAACTTCAAGAAAAAAAAACATTTATTTTTCCATAAATTGTGTATATTCAATTCATTGATTAGAAAATATACTGCAAATCCTTAAATTTAAAATATTGGTTTAAAGTAATAAAGTTTGCAATACATTTAATTAATGCCTGCTGAAGTATATATAAGGGATTCCCAGGTGGTTCAGTGGTAAAGAATCCACCTGCCAATGTAGGAGACATGGTTTGATACCTGGGTCAGGAAAATCCCCTAGAGAAAGAAACAGCAACCCACTCCAGTATTCTTGTCTGAAAAATCCAATGACCAGAGGCGCCTGGCACGCCTCAGTCTGTGGGGTCTCAAAGAGTCAGACATGCCTGAGCAACTAAGCATGCACGCAAGGTACATATAATTCTTCCAGTAATTACAATTACTCTGGTGTATATATATTATGGGACTTTGTAAAGAAGTAATCTAGCAGAGTACAGAATAATAGATTGTCCTTCAAAATGCATTTGTTGAAAATATCAGGAAGCCCGTAACATTTATCATTCCACCTCTGTGAGGTTTGTGGCATGAAGAGTCAACTAAAAATGGGATTTGGACACATTATAAGGGATGAACCAGGTTATGATGATAGTATCTTTTCTCAAAATGAGCCGAGCACTATGGCATGTCTGGTGGTTTGGTGATTTCAGGACACAAAATCACATGTAAGAGATGACCGATGAATCTTTTGTAGGATGAAATTGATTTGATGTTAGCAAGAAAGAAGAACTAATTATTTTTATTGATGCAGACTTTGGTAGAGGAATAAAACCTACAACAGCTAACTAACATTTGCAGAAATGAACATGTAGGGAGATTTTATAACACAGAGTTAAAAGATAAAGAACACATGCATACACAAATACTTTTGAATGATTATCCCAGGAGAATATCTGTGTCCAGCTCTCCAAAACTCTATCCATTTTCTTTCTGAATATAATGATAACCAAATTCCAAAAGACTGAATTCACTATTATTCATGTGAAATTTGAAGCATCAAGCATTGTAGAAGACATTACAATTAATGACACAAAGGTTCTTTTTACACATACCGAATTCTTTCTGTTTCACTGTTAACTACGGGCTTTCCTTCTTTAAGCCACTGAATAAGTGGGGTGGGAATGCCATTTGCATTGCAGACCAGCTCAACATTTTCCCCAAGAAGGACACTGACTTCACTTGGAATCTCAGCACCAGCAACATTTGGAGGAACTTTGGAGAAATAATTAAGACGTTCATTATCAAGGCATAAGAATGTAAATTCTCTGAATACAACAGAATCATAGAACAATATGCCATTTTTATGTCATAGTTTTCCTAGATTGTGGTTCAAGATCAAACTCTTGCCATTGTCAGAAATTACTTGAAAAATAAGTGTAGAAATCACTTCAATATTCTTGGCACAATGTAAGTTGATATAATTATTTAGTCATAGGGGTTGGTGATAAATCTACCTCATGGGCACCCTTCTTGGCCAGAGAGAATCACTCCTGATTAAAGCCTCAAAAGATAGCTCAGAATTTATACAGTTCAGGAGAATCTGTTTTATAAAAGTTTAGCATAAGTCTGAGAAAGGTATCTGAATTGAGTATTTCTTTCTCTATGATACAGTTTAATTACTATTTATTCTGAACAACAAATAGCTTATTATTCAAGATTTAATCATCTCTATTGTTTTTACTAGCATCTTTCTTCCTCACTTTAATGATTCAATTAAGAAATAATGGATAATAAAAATATTGACAATTCTATTAGAAACACATTTGAATTACTCTTCTTAATAATTATAGTGGTGTGGTTCATATAGTGGAGGTAGTTCACACCAACTTGCAAGTGCCAGTTTTGCAGATCTTTACAATGCTGTGTTTGGTGCCATCATTTCAAGTGATAGGTTGAAATGGGCCACCGTGGGAATATTCACACCACAGAAACTGACAAATGATTGGTTCTTGCCAAGTCAAGTCAAGACCATTTTATTTGCAGAGTCAATTGTTAGACATTTACCAACACAGCACTGCATAATCTTTCCAAATCTCATTTCAGTTGTCCAGAAGATAGTAATAATTACACTAAATTTATATTTACCAAAGAAGCTGAATCAATAAGAATGCTAATGAGACATCCCATAACAAGTGTCTAATACAGGAAAGCAGGCTCTTGGGTAGCTCAGTGGTAAAGAACCCACTTGCCAATGCAGGAGATGTGGGTTCAGTCCCTGTGTTGGGAAGATTCCCTGAAGGAAAATAACCCACTCCAGTATTCTTGCCTGGGAAATCCCACGGACAGAGGAGCCTGGCAGGCTACAGTCCACTGGGTTGCAAAAGAGTCAGACATGACTTAGCAACTAAAACAATAGAGGAAAAGCATGGACTAGGCCTATCCATGGCTAATTCACTTCAATGTATGACAAAAACCACTACAATGATGTAAAGTAATTAGCCTCCAACTAATAAAAATAAATGAAAAAAAAAAAAAGATATAACAACATATACAAAATGTCTGGTAAAAATCTTTGATCATACCACATACTCCATGATTGGCATCTATTATTATTAATACATTAAGCATAAATTAGGCATGTAATTTCTGACACTGAATCTCTGAACAGCTATATTTCCTTTTGTGCTTCTAAAATCTTCAGCATCACTAATAGGAAAAAGCCACTGATAGTTATAAACTAATTTTGATTTTTCTTTAATTTCAATTTTTAGGTGATGGATTTTAATCTTACTGTGGTGATCATTTTGCAGTATATACATATATCAAATCATTATGTTGTACACATTAAACTTGTACAATGTTGGTGCACGCTCAGTCACTAAGTTGTGTCCAACTCTGCGACCCCATGGACTATAGCCCAGCAGGGCCCTCTGTCCATGGGATTTCCCAGGCAAGAATGCTGGAGTGGGTTGCCATTTCCTCTTCCTTGTGATAATACAAAGATTATAGAAGGTGATTTATTTTGGGAAATTTTAGTTATAAAGATTATAACCATCCATCCCAGGACTGAACCCATATCTCCTGCATTGGCAGGTGAATTCTTTACCTCTGAGTAAAGAATGGGAAGCCCTATACAATGTTACATGTCAATTATATTTCAGTAAAGCTGGAAAAAAATTGCAATTTTTCTGTAGTTATTTTTAGCAGAGCACAGAGCAAGTAGATAATACATATTCACAATTGCACTGGACAAACTTAGGACAAATTCTTTTCACAATAACTATAATAAAATTGGAAAAAGCAAGTATTTCAACTTGGTTTCAAGTTAGACTTCCATTTCAATTTAAAAATTAGGCTGAGAATAATACCCAAAGGTTTCTGAAAATCAAAAGGATGCAAGTTCTCCCTGCAGTGCTCAATTCTATGCTGGAACATAGATGTTAATTAAATATTTCTTGGATAAATCAATGCTCTTTATTTTCACCTCCAATTAGATTCATGATTATTTAAATTTACCCATTCCTTGACCAGTAATTAGGACATATTTAATCTCTTCATGAGATAAATCGTACTTACCTATATAAATAGAAAGAGACTTATAAGCTTAGCATCAAAATAAGTTATTCCAGCTTTAAGTGAACAAGTAATTCAATAGAATATACACTATAGGAAGGTACACATTTCTGGACACATGACAAAATAGATTTTGAAATTTCTACTATTCTTTTCTTCACATTTATGTCCATTTTCATGAAAACACTACCTACTATTAAATGTAGGACAGAAAACTCACAGTATTTTTTGTTTATCTAAAGATACTTTGGGACTTCCCTGGTGGCCCAGTGGTTAAGACTTCACCTTCCAACGCAGGAAGTACAGGTTTGATCTCTGGCTGGGAAGCTAAGATCTTAAATGCCTTGTGCCTCATGACCAAAAAATCAGAACATAAAACAATAGAAGCAATACTGTAATAAATTCAATAAAGACTTTAAAAAAATGGTCCACATAAAACAAAATCTTAAAAAAGATGTTTTGTAAGTCAAATCATTATGCTGTGTACTCTAAAATTATATGGTTCTTTACATCACTTAAATCTCAATAAGCTGAAAAGACCACAATATCCAAAACACACAGAGATATTTTTAATCAATTATAAATGATCTGTTTAGATATACACTTATTTTGTACTATAAGTAGAATGGAATAAAGAAACTGAAGACAGATCAGAGTGTACCCCACATACCTTGAATTGAAAGAATGTAATTTTTCTGTGCTTTTCCCTCCATATTTGAGGCAATGCATGTATAGTTTCCACTATCTGAATGTTGGGACCTGGCAATTTGGAGTTTGCTTCCCCCAGACAAAATATGAACTTCCAGTGAGCCAGAATTTTCTAGCAGTAGAAACAAAGCAAATCATAAAAAAGCTTTTATTTTAACATCTCTACAATTCACCATAAAAATGTCTGACTCAATGTGATAAATGTATTTCTTAAAGGTCCTCCCTTATACTTTGATTTTAAAGGACAGCTTTATTTTTTGAAAAAGACAAGGAGAAAAATCTCTGTAAAATGAAGACTCTTTTGTAAGTTTATATTACAGTACATCAGGCTTTCTGAACTAAACATGGCTATGTGCACAGTACTGAACATGTGCTAGTTTATTAACCTAATGAATGAGGAGCAAACGAAAACAATCATAAGAAATGCACAGTTACATTACCTATGGGTTTGTGGTTCTTCAGCCATGCTATTGAGGGAGGTGGGATTCCAGTAGCATCACATGTTAAAGTCACAGGATTGCTGACTGTCTCCACAATGACTTCGTTTTCAGGCCCTTCAATACTGGGTGGCACTGTAAAAAGACAGAAGACAATCATGTGTCCTCATTAAGTTAACTCAGGATACTTTCTTTCATTTGCATATCTGGGGGAAAAAAGACTTGTATTAGAGGCAGATGCTCACCATATACATTGAGGTGGAAATTTTTATCATCTCGTCCTGCTACATTTATAGCTCTACATACATACTGGCCTGTGTCAGATACCTAAAAGAAAAAGATACTATTGTATGTGCTCCATTAAGTTACAGATGACCAATCACACTGTTCAAGTGTAGATTAAATCATCAGTCATCTTTATGCTCAAACGCCCCAGTCCTAATTGCCTTCTACAATCCTGCTTTTTCTTTCAAATGAAAAAATGAAGGTAATGGTATTGATGATGTTATTTTTTTTAATGAAAATAATTTTTTAGCGCAGTAAAGATATAACTTCCAATTCTCTCTTCCATAATCCCACCAAGGAGCCACGCACGACACACAAACAAGAATAAGAGATGCACCTCAGCTTTTGTGATATGCAGCATTTGTCCATCGGCCAGAACCTCCAGCTGAGCAGACTCTGTTAGCATCCGTCCATTCTTATACCAGGTGACGACTGGAGGCGGGACAGCATTCGACTCACATTCCAGTGATACTGAGGTCCCCTCTCTTACATTAACTACAGAAAGAGATTCGCTTCCATGATCTTTAATGCTTGGGGGCACTGAAGGAAGAAAATAAAAAAGAGGCTTTGTTTTTTCCATTAAGATGCTCAGACAGAAAATAGCTAATACCAGTTTAAAAATGAAAGACTCTTATGAGAAGAGTATAAACAAACCATAAACAGTCAGGGAAACTTTTTTCTTGCTTTCCCCAGCTTGGTTGATAGCTATACAAGTGTATTCACCACCATCAGATACCTTGGCCCGGATAATTTGCAAAGTTCGACCACCTGTGGGCAAATATAATGCAAATTGAAGAGTGGTATAGAAATTGTTGTAATAACTAGTTTATTGATAAGATAAATGACAAAATGTATCCTTTCCCTTAGAGAGAAATCTATATATATATTAATAGAAGCATTTCATATACAAAATGAAAATTTAATCAATTTCCTTGGATCCTCTCATTATTACTTCTTCTGAAAGTGAAAGTGTTAGGCACTCAGTCATGTCCGATTCTTTTTTGTGACCCCATGGACTATAACCCACTAGACTCCCCTGTTCATGGAATTTTCCAGCAAGAATACTGGAGTGGGTTGCCATTCCCTTCTCCAGGGGATCTTCCCCACCCAGGGATTGAACTCAGGTCTCTCACACTGCAGGCAGATTCTTTACCATCTAAGCAACCAGGTAAGCCCATTACTTACTCTACTTCCTTCTAAAAGAAGAAATTAATAAAAATTTATCTCCAGTAACCAAATGTGGATAACAGAACTGTTTCATACAGATTCTTCAGAGTAAATAATAACTGTACTATAGTCAGTATGTGTTAAGTATTTCTGGTTTAAATCTCCCACAGTACGGAAGTGGCTATCATCTGTTAGTCAATTTATCTACCCTCCAGGAGCTTTAGTACTGATTAAAAACAACCAGTGAATTTATCCAATGAAAGAACTATTTCGTAAACTTATCATCCCCAAGGGATTAGTAAACAGTTCTGTTCCTAAATTTCATAATTTTGAAGCAGACCTTGTTACTGTACATTCCCACTAAACTCATAAAAGTCTACACAGTTTCATCCTAACGGCCCCAAATGGCTAGAGAGAGGCATTTAATGTGAACAAATGAATGTAGCAAGACAGAAGTCTGGAAAGAGACTAAGTTGAAATTCCATTTGTATTAAAAATAAAGAAAAATGAGAATGTGTCATCTACTTTAAAAGAGTACTAAGTTCCTTACCAGGCACAATGAAAGCATTTGTGTTTAGTTTGATAGGCTGTTCATTCTTGAGCCAGCTGAGATCAGGAGGTGGAAAACCAGAGACCTCACAGGTCAAAGAGATGAAATTGTTCACCACAACAGTGAGATTTTCAGGGTTAGGACCAATGACACTTGGAGGAACTATAATAGTAAATATATTAAAAGTGAAATATGTTAATATTAAACATATTAAAAGTGAAAAATGATATTATCAATACACATATTCCAATTTATTAATATAAGCCCAACCACTGTACTCTGCTAAAGCACTGAGTTAATGATACTGTTAATTATTTACCTTTCTTTTTAGAATTCCCTAATGCCTTCATCAAATTCATGTATATAAGTTTTGTTTTTTCCAATTGAAAGAAAATACTAGAATTTTCAAAGGCAGAATTATTGTGCATTTTATTTGTAAAATGTAGTTGGAAGTACTTAAGATGGTTTTGTCAATGTACAAAGATCTAATACTGCTTTTCATTAAATATATTTGAATATTCTGGCTTTTAATATTATACCCTTAAAGTTTTTATTTTCTTGCTTATAGTAATACTAGACATTTTATTTCAGAGTATCTATTTGTAGATTATACAGGTAATTTCAACAATGTAAATAAATGACTTTCAAGATGAGCAAAAAATTTAACAAATAAACAAATTAATGTCTTACTGTTCAAAACCAAAAAAGAATTCCAAAAGCAAAAGCAGTACAGAAAAAAGTGGGGTCAAAAAAAGGCTAATAATGCAATGACAATTATGCATATTAAAACACACATTTATGGAACAATAGATGTTTTTATAAGAACACATAAATATTGAAGGAATAATATTACAGATTCAAATGACTTCCAAAGTGGGGATGGGTGGGAATAGGAGTGAGGAATGGGCATTAAAAATGAATGAATACATGAATGAATGAATAGATTAATAAAGGCAGAGATAAGTCTTGTTCAGGCTAGTGAAGATAGTAAGACATGACATAAAGAATGTAATGTAGTGCTTGCTTCGGCAGCACATATACTAAAATTGGAATGATACAGAGAAGATTAGCATGGCCCCTGTGCAAGGATGACACGCAAATTCGTGAAGCGTTCCATATTTAAAAAAAAAAAAGAATGTAATTTAACCCTCTATTATTATATTATACTCTATATATTATTCTCTCTACATATTATATTCAGATTGAGTTTTTAAAACAGCATAAAAAAAAAGATCAAAAAGACAAAATTACTTTAAAAATATTACTGTCAAATTTTTAATCACTGATTTTCATGACCATTCATTTATACTTATTTCAGATGCTGTGCTAAGTGCTGATGCAGTACAAAAATATAATAGATAATATCTATGAAGAATAATTTGGTGGTAGTGACATTGAGCAAAAAAGTGACAGATAACATTTTTTTGAGTGGTTATGCTGTGCCAGGCACTAAACACTTTGTAATGCCATTTCATTGAAAGCTCATAAAACTTATGTTTTAGATACAGTTCTTATCCTCTTATTATAGATGAGAAAAGCTGAGACAGAGAGAGGTTAGAATCTTGCCTAAGGTTTCACAGTTACCGGGAGAGACTGGTGTCTGACTTGAGAGCCCTGTTCTTAGCCACCATCTGATCCTGCCTTGTGATTACAAGTGTGCATGCTTAGTTGTCAGTCATGTCCGACTCTTTGTGACCCCATAGACTGTACTCTGTCAGGCTCCTCTGTACATGGGATTCTCCAAGAAGACAGAAAATGGGGGTATCTTCCAGAAAGAAGGCATGGCATATACAATGGTCCAAACAGGGAAAAGAACATGAACCAGAAGGCTGACCTGACCAGAGTTTGAAAAGCAAGATTGTCGGGGAGTTAGGCTGGAGAGTAGACGAGATTAAAGGACTAAGCAGGATCAAGTCCTACAAGGTCTTCTGGGCATCATTAAGAATACTGAAATACAGCCTAAGGAAAGGAAAGAGAAGAGTGGTTTACTCAAAAATTCATTTAAAAGATACCACTCTGGCCACAGTGGAGGGAACTGGTGAGAACGCTAAAACAGAAAGACCAGTTAGGTGACTATTGCTGTGATAAGTACAAAAGATTATAGTGCTATGCTCAGGATGGTATCACAAAGAACAGAAAAGTGATGCTTTGGGTGTGAGGTTTAAGGAGGAGGCGGAATCAAGGATGACATTCCTTTTCCTGGCTTGAACAGTGGGAAGATGGTGATTCCCTTTACTGACACAGAGATCCCTGGAGGAGGAACACATTTTGGGGAAAAGGTAATAAGCTCAGTTACATATACATTGTCTTAAGAGTGACTATCACACATTTGTATTGATAAGAAGTAAATATCTGAACAGAAGAGTCTAGAGATCCTGAGGGGACCCTGGCTAGAAATAAAACTTTGCAAACGATCTGCACATAAATGGTATCTGAAATTTGGGAATTCATGAGATCATATGATGCGTGTTTGAAGAGTTTGAAGAAATGAAGTCAAGGGCTTAGAAAAATAAGAAGTAATAGTCAAGTAGGAAGGGAGGAACTAACAAAGGAAACTGGGAATGAGAGATTGGAAAGGAAAGATATAAATAAGGGGTATAGGTGTCACATAAGCCAAAGGAAGAGAAATTTTGAAAAAGATGGTCAAATGCTAAAGAATGTCAAATGCTCAAAAGTAAGAAAGATAAAGCCTGGAAAATGCCTACTGGATTTTTGATGTCATTTCCTGAATTCAGCGAGCAGCTTCATTGGAGTTGTGGGGGTGAAATCTGGTCAGTAGTGGTGGGAGGTGGAGAAGGCAATGGCACCCCAATCCAGTACTCTTGCCTGGAAAATCCCATGGACAGAGGAGCCTGGTGGGCTGCCGTCTATGGGGTCACACAGAGTCGGACACGACTGAAGTGACTTAGCAGCAGCAGCAGCAGCGGTGGGAGGAGTGAGCAGGAGTAAGGAGATGGAGACAGTAAATATACACAGCAATTAGAGAAGGTTGTTTTGAAATACAGGGCAAAGAGAGGGAGGCAGCTGAAGAGAAATATTATGTCCAAGGGAGAGTTTCTTATTTTTATTTTTTAAGAGGGAAAAGAGAAGTAAATTTAAGTGGTCTTGGGAAAGAGCCACTAAAAGTGTGAATTTCAATATTGGAGAAGAAGAGAGGAGACTGTGGGATTTCTGAGGGGGTAGTGGCAGGGATCTAGAGCCAAGTCAGTCTTTGGAAGGCAGAGGAACTCTTCCATTCTGTGTTGTAACAGAAGGAAAGAAGAAATGGCAATATCAGACGCAGCTGATATTGTCAATTTGATGGTAGGAATTAGAAGTGGCTTCTGCAATATGCCTCTCTTTTCCCTGTAAAACAGGAGATAAGGGTATTGACTGAAAGTGAGAGGAGGGCTGTGATTGGCTGAATGTTTGTGTCCCCCCAAAATTCATATACTAAAACCCTACCTCTCAGTGTGGTTGTATGTGAAGATGGGGACTTAAAAGAAAAAATGAAACATAAATGAGGTCATAAAGGTCATAAACCTGATCCTACCAGATTACTGTCTTTATAAAAATAAGACACCTGAAAGTTTCCTTGCTTTTTCTGTCCATGTGTGCTCGTGGAAGGGCCTTGTGAGGACAAATTGGTCATCGACAAGCCAGAAAGAGCCTTCATCAAAGCTGAATCCTGCTGGAACCTTGATCTTGGACTTTCCAGCCTCCAGACTGGTGAGAAAATAAACTCTTGTTGTTTAACCACGTAGTCTCTGGTATTTTGTTAATGGCTGCCTGAGCTAAGACAGGGGCCATGTGACATTTGAGAAGGTATGAGAGTCACTCTGAAGTAGAGACATAAGGATGTGCCCCAGCCAGTATAAAGGGCTCATTTCAAGCAGTACCTGTGAATTTATACTCCAATATTTCTGATGCCAAGAGTTTCTCCAGCCAGGGTTACCTACCTAGGTGTACGTATGGAATTCAGTTGAAGGTAATACAGAAAAGCAGCTAAGTTTACAGCCTCTGAAATCAGACTACTTGAGTTAAAATCCTGGTTCTATATTTGCCAGCTGTGTAACTTTGGCCATGTTACTTTATCTCACAGAGGTTCATCTTTTTCATCCATAAAAGAGATATGTAATAGGATCAACCACCTGGGGTTGAGATAATTAAGTAAAATAACATATATGAAAAGACCTGATGTATTATCTTGTAGGTATCAAGCAGTCAGTATGTTGTGTTGCTATATGTGGAGCTGAGCTTTTATTAAGCAAGAGCACTGAGAAGATATGGGCTAAGAGCAGTAATTGATATGTTGGTCAATGAAGGCGAAGCTGGATGTGAAGGAAAGCAAACACACAGAGGTATGAAAAAAAACTGGAGGTCAACAGAATGAAGGTTAGAGACCAAAACGAACAAGCACTGTTGTAGGAAGCAATTTAAATGGTTCCTCCCCCACATGGATTTTCCAGTATTTAATCCAATATTAATTATGGATTCCTACTGCAGTCACAAGATCAAGATACTATGAACTGGTAAAAGAGGAGGCCCCCTCCTGTCCAATTCCTAACAGTAAACACTAATGGCAGCTGCCTCTCAATTCATGCAAGGTTCCCAATTCAGATGATTCTGCTATACATTAAGAAGAGAAACTGGATATGAAGGAAATATAATCAAGGAACAACAAATATTTATTTAGCAACTACCATATCTTTAGACTAGGAAGACCAAGGTCCATAAGAAATCACCATTTGTCTACAGCATTTATAATAAAGTTATAAGATAAGAGGTGAAGATACAGACATATAAAGATAACAAGGTAGCATCTGTGACTGATAAAACTGGGGTTTTTATGAGATGCTTTTGACCACATAAAGGAAGAAAAATGAATTCTGCCTTGGGGAAATCAGGAAAAATAATCAACACTTTTATTTTTCAACATTTATTCTACTGTACTTTATAGATTAGAATGTATACTTTCACAATGATTATTATTGTTTAATTCATTCTTTCCAGGAAATCATAACACATTATTACCATTTTGGTCAGATTTACTCAACAAAAGTTGCTAAGCACTGGGACTGCAAAGATAGCAGTGGCTCAAATCGGTTACACAGCATCAGTACCAGATACTGCTCGACATCAATACTTCCTACATATCACACCACAAAAGAATATCCATTGTGCTAAATAAAAGCCTTTTGAAAGAGGAAATGTTTCACTAATGTCAAATTTCTGCTATTTTCAAAATGAGCCAGAATTTGGTATATGAACCACACAGAGTGAGAGTGAGTGAAAGTCACTTGTTCGTGTCTGACTCTTTGCAACCTCATGGACTAATCAGTCCATGGAATCTCCAGGCCGGAACACTGGAGTGGGTAGCCTTTCCCTTCTCCAGGGGATCTTCCCAACCCAGGGATCGAACCCAGGTCTCTCTCATTGTAGGCAGATTCTTTACCAGCTGAGCCATGTGAATCAAACAGCTAAAGAAAATCTGTTATAATAATTGTTCACCATTTCCAATTTAATATTCTGGAAGCAGCTGTGTGTCATGAAAATAAAATTATTTATGGTTGACATCCAATGGCATTTTGAGCAAAAACAAAAAAACTAGTATTTATGGAGTGTCTAGCATTTATCGAAAACTTAAAATCTGATAAATGAATTAGATGTATGGATGGGTCTTAGGAATTATTTAACTCCACAAAGTGACTTTTTCTTCCTTGGGGAGTGTACTAAATTCTGGAGGGTGTAACTGAACATGGATTCTATAACTGAGGACAGAAACTAGTTCCAATCAGGCCCAGTGGGTAAATTTTCATGAGTAGAAGAGCTATTTTTGGTTCTTACTTCATATAAACTTTTACTCTTTGGGATTTCAAATTTTGATTTTTTTTTTTTACTTTCAAATACATAGGAGTAATTACTTTGTCTTAGGGGACTGAAATAATATAAAAACAGTCTTTCTAAAAGATTTGTACTTTATAAATCCCACAAGCTGTGGTAAGAAAGAAAGAAGGGGAAGATTGAATGAATGCTGGCTCCACACATTGTTCAAGTTAAAAAATAGGAAATAAGCCTACATAATCTAAAACACAGCTTTCCTGCTTTTTCAAGCATACTCTAACAGATGTTTTTGGAACTGAGCTCTTACCATGAACATTGAGGTTAAAATATTTTTTGGCACTTCCAGCTGTGTTCTCAGCAACGCACACATATCTGCCGATATCTGTTATTTGACTATTTAGAACCTAACGGGAAAAAGGAAGAAATTCCAACTGAAACTTTTTAGAAAGCAACTTGTAAATTTTGAGAATAAACAATCCATATTTTTTCTAGTTAATACCAGATAAACATAATAAAGAATTTTTGTAACACAGCTGATGCTGGTTTTTATGAGGTCAATTAAATAAATATTTATAAAGATTTCTAATCAGAAAAGGCAATTGCATACTGACTTGCATATTGACTAGGAAGAGTGCCAAATCTGTCTCCCACTTCCCCATCTACATCCCTGCCCGTGTGACTACATCACTGGAAGTTCCTCCCATCAGGAAGTGGAATAAAGATGTAGAATTTGTGTTGGCCTTATGACCAGCTTTGACCAGCAGAGTGTGATGGATGTGACAGTGTTCCATTTTAAACCTAGGCCTTGTGCATGTCCCCTCACTCATCTGGAAGCCTGCCACCACTCTTTGAGGAAACCAGGATTAGCTCACTGGAAGGTGAGAGATCACATGGGAAGAGTCATCCTAGTTATTGCAACCAAGGCCCCAGAAACGTGCAAGAGCCCAGCTAAGATCAGCAGAGCCACTAATTCAACCCACAGTATGTAGACACTTGACTGAGCAAGCCTTGCCAAGACCAGAAAATCACCCAGTCAACCAGAAGGCTTGTGAGCTGAATAAATCCCTACTGTTTTAAGCTGTTTGGAGTGGTTTGTTTCATACAGCAAGAGTTAATGTAGTAGCTATTTTTTTTTTTTTTTCAGGAGGGGAAATAAGTTTTTATTTTTATTTTTTATTTATTTTTTTTCATTTATTTTTATTAGTTGGAGGCTAATTACTTTACAATATTGTAGTGGTTTTTGCCATACATTGAGATGAATCAGCCATGGATTAGTAGCTATGTTTTTAAATTATGCAGACATTTCTACCGATCTATATATCTTTTAGCTCTAGCCAGTGGAAATATTTAAGCATTTAGCTAGAGGTTGTATGTGCATCAAATAGAAAAAGTCATGATGTTTAGAAGATACCTTGAGAGTTAAAGATTATTTTTAAGTAGTGAATCTCATACTTTCTTAAAAAAAATAAAGAACTCCATGAGATATGTTCTGGGTTGGATTCCCTGATGCTTAAATTCTTGGGCCTACAGAACATCATTAATATATTCGAGAAATAATTTCTTAAGTTGTGTTGTAACAAAAGAGTTGGTGTTATTTCTACAAGTGCCTATCTTTCTTTTAGGACACTTGAAAAAAATAAGACATGCCCATTAGTGCACAATAATTCAGGATATTTATATGGTTTCCATTATTATCAACTCTTTGCCAACAGAGAACAAATTTTAATCTACACAGAACCTTATAGCATATAGAATCTTATCATCAGAAACCTGCAATGAAAAGATTATAATTTGCTTATAATTTGATTTTTTATCACAGAGGCCATATTACAGTAAATTTAGGTGTATGTGTGTTGAATGTACAGATGACTTCTGGAAGAATTCACATAAAACTGTTAACAGTGGTCACCAGTGATAATGAGAAAATAATGAGGAAGAATAATTGTATTTTATATCCTTTTTATGCTGTGCTGTTTTTATAAATGGGGACTGAAGCCCACCAGGTTCCTCTGTCCATGGGATTCTCGAAACAAGAATACTGGAGTGGGTAGCCTATCCCTTCTCCAGGGGATCTTCCTGACCCAGGAATCGAACCAGGGTCTCCTGCACTGCAGACAGATTCTTTACCAGCTGAGCTACCAGGGAACTTCACAAATACTTATAAGCCAATACAAATTATTTCTAAAAGCAAAAAGACAGTGATTATAAAATACAAAGTCAAATAGCTATTTTAAAATTAGATTGTTTACTGTTACCTGAAGAATTCTCCCATTAGACAGAAATTTATGATGCTCATCTTCTAGCAACGGCTGCCCATCTTTTTGCCAGGAACTCCTTGGTGTGGGACTGCCACTGGATAAACACTCCATCAGCACACTCTTGTTCACCAGCACGGTGACCTCTTCAGGGAGATCACCATTTGCTCCCTTGATAACTGGTGGCACTAATAAGTGATTGAAACAAAGAGAAAAGACAGGAAGCAAAGTCCTTTCTAAATATTCTAGCTTTATGACAATTTTTTCAAGTTTGGGATAAGAGAGAAGCAAAAGTTGAAGAAGAATCCATGATCCTGAAGTAACATTTTACATTAATAAATTAGGGTTGTGATAAAGACTATGTGAATTTGGGTTTATTTTTTCCTTCCCCAGCTATCATGGACTCCCAAAGTTTGCTTCCCATTTAGGTTAACACTGATTATTACCTTTCTGCACCACCCTCACAGACTCCCCTCCCCACCCATAGATCACGTTATAGTTTTTTTTTTAAATCTCTGATCTCAGGCTGATGAGGGTGGGTGCAGAAAGCAATGATGAAGCCACGTAGCTCCAACTTCAGTGTTTGACTGTCTATCACACCCCTCCCCCATGGTGGAAATGTCTAATGTTCTCTTGTTTTCCATGGGCCCAAAATACCACCCCGACCACTGTTTCTCTTATTCTCATACTTAAGGAAAGGACTAAATACATCTGATATGTGTTCCCACATAACCTTTCTTACCATCTCAAGGGATGGCAATTCACTACCATGGAAGGTAGTGAACCCTAGTTGACCCCTCTTGGTTTCTTGACTGCATTTTTCACCTATTCTAGGACTTGCTCCATCAGTCTTGTAACTTCCTCCCATCTGCACACACTCACTAGAAACTTTAACTTGTCCCTGTCTGTTGGAGCACTTTCCTTGATCTATAAGCAAGTTCAAAACTCTCTTAAATATATTATTTCAAACAAGCTGTTATCCTACAACTCAATTTTACCTCTTCCTGACTCTGCAAAATCTCCTAAGAGTACTCTATATTTGCTTCCTTTTCTATCTGATTTTTTGCTCAGTATATATTCTTCTGTTCTGTGGTTGAGTACCACACCATACTAAACATAAATAGATCTTTTGAATTTCACCAATGATTTTTTAGTTTCAAAGCCAAATGACCTTTTTTAGTTTTCATTTCTTTAAATTTACTTTGCTCATAGTGATGCTTCCTAAGGCCCACTTGACTTCACATTCCAGGATGTCTGGCTCTAGGTGAGTGATCACACCATCGTGATTATCTGGGTCATGAAGATCTTTTTTGTACAGTTCTTCTGTGTATGCTTGCCACCTCTTCTTAATATCTTCTGCTTCTGATAGGTCCATACCATTTCTGTGCTTAATTGTGCCCATCTTTGCATGAAATGTTCCCTTGGTATCTCTAATTTTCTTGAAGAGATCTCTAATCTTTCTCATTCTATTGTTTTCCTCTATCTCTTTGCACTGATCCCTGAGGAAGGCTTTCTTATCTCTCCTTGCTATTCCTTGGAACTTGCACTCAAATGGGTATATCCTTCCTTTTCTCCTTTGCTTTTCGCTTCTCTTCTTTTCTCAGCTATTTGTAAGGCTTCCTCAGACAGCCATTTTGCATTTCTTTTTTGGGGGATGGTCTTGATCCCTGCCTCCTGTACAATGTCACAAACGTCCATCCATAGTTCTTCAGGCACTCCATCTATCAGATCTAATCCTCTGAATCTAATTGTCACTTCCACTGTATAATTGTAAGGGATTTGACTTAGGTCATACCTGTATCAAGTAGAGAAAACCACTAGACCATTCAGGTATGACCTAAATCAAATCCCTTATATTATACAGTAGAAGTGAGAAATAGATTTAAGGGACTAGATCTGATAGAGTGCCTGATGAACTATGGATGGAGGTTCGTAACACTGTACAGGAGGCAGGGATCAAGACCATCCCCCCAAAAAAAATGCAAAAAAGCAAAATGGCTGTCTGAGGAGGCCTTACAAATAGCTGTGAAAAGAAGAGAAGCAAAAATCAAAGGAGAAAAGGAAAGATATTCCCATTTGAATGCAGAGTTCCAAAGAATAGCCAGGAGAGATAAGAAAGCTTTCCTCAGTGATCAAAGAAATAGAGGAAAACAACAGAATGGGAAAGACTAGAGATCTCTTCAAGAAAATTAGAGATACCAAGGGAACATTTCATGCAAAGATGGGCTCAATAAAGGACAGAAATGGTATGGACCTAACAGAAGCAGAAGATGTTAAGAAGAGGTGGCAAGAATACAAAGAAGAACTGTACAAAAAAGATCTTCATGACCCAGAAAATCACGATGGTGTGATCACTCACCTAGAGCCAGGCATCTTGGAATGTGAAGTCAAGTGGGCCTTAGGAAGCATCACTATGAACAAAGCTAGTGGAGCTGATGGAATTCCAGTTGAGCTTTTTCAAATCCTGAAAGATGACGTTGTGAAAGTGTTGACTCAATATGCCAGCAAATTTGGAAAACTCAGCAGTGGCCACGGGACTGGAAAAGGTCAGTTTTCATTCCAATCCCAAAGAAAGGCAATGCCAAAGAATGCTCAAACTACCACACGATTGCACTCATCTTGCACACTAGTAAAGTAATGCTCAAAATTCTCCAAGCCAGGCTTCAGCAGTACGTGAACCATGAACTTCCAGATGTTCAAGCTGGTTTTAGAAAAGGCAAAGGAACCAGAGATCAAGTTGCCAACATCCCTTGGATCATCGAAAAAGCAAGAGAGTTCCAAAAAAACATCTACTTCTGCTTTATTGACTATGCCAAAGCCTTTGACTATGTGGATCACAACAAACTGTGGAAAATTCTTCAAGAGATGGGAATACCAGACCACCTGACCTGCCTCCTGAGAAATGTGTATGCAGGTCAAGAAGCAACAGTTAGAACTAGACATGGAACAACAGGCTATTTCCAAATAGGAAAAGGAGTATGTCAAGGCTATATATTGTCACGCTGCTTACTTAACTTATATCATGAGAAATGCTGGGCTGGAAGAAGCACAAGCTGGAATCAAAGATTGCTGGGAGGAATATCAATAACCTCAGATATGCAGATGACACCACCCTTATGGCAGAAAGTGAAGGGGAGCTAAAAAGCCTCTTGATGAAAGTGAAAGAGAAGAGTGAAAAAGTTGGCTTAAAGCTCAACATTCAGAAAACTAAGATCATGGCATCTGGCCCCATCACTTCATGGCAAATAGATGTGGAAACAGTGTCAGACTTTAGTTTTTGGGGGCTCCAAAATCACTGCAGATGGTGATTGCAGCCATTAAATTAAAAGACGCTTACTCCTTGGAAGGGAAGTTAAGACCAACCTAGACAGCATATTAAAAAGCAGAGATATTACTTTGCTGACAAAGGTCCATCTAGGCAAAGCTATGGTTTTTCCAGTAGTCGTATCTGAATGTGAGAGTTGGACTATAAAGAAAGCTGAGAGCCTTAGAATTGATGCTTTGGAACTGTGGAGTTGGAGAAGACTCTTGAGAGTCCCTTGGACTGCAAGGAGATCACACCAGTCCATCCTAAATGAAATCAGTCCTGAATATTCATTGGAAGGACTGATGCTGAAGCTGATTCTCCAATACCTGATGCAAAGAACTGACTCATTGGAAAAGACCCTGATGCTGGGAAAGTTTGAAGGCAGGAGGAAAAGGGGACGACAGAGGATGAGATAGTTGAATGGCATCACCGACTTGATGGACAAGCTCCACTTCTTGATAACCTTTTCTATGCCTTGGATTCTATGACTTCATAGGTTACATGAACTCCTCAGATTGTTCCTCCTCTAATCTGCTTTCTTTGTCCTGTCTCCTACTTGTAAATGATGCAACAATGATCTTTTTGATCTTCTACTCTATCTATAACACTTTCTGTTGAAAAATCTCATGCCTCTGAATATCACTTGTTTGTGTACAACTTTCAAACCTATATTCTTAGTTCAATTCTCCTTCCTGTGTTGTAGTTCCGCATTTCCAATGTCTCTTTCAACACCTTCCTGAGTATCTTGGTACCATGCTAAACTCAACATATCCAAAACAACACTGATTTCATTCTTCTCAAGTCATGTTGTTTTCCTAAATCTTCTATTTTTATTACTCTTTCTATAATTTTCTTAATCACACAGGACAAAAATCTGTTTCATCTCATAGTCTCAGATAAGTGCCTACCTCTTCATATAACCTAATCACTTCCTCTATAAAAACTTTCATACCAACTGATTCCTATACATTCCCACTGCTACTTCTCTAGCTTAGCTCCTTCTAATGAAAACATCTATCTTTTTTCCTGCTTCTACTACCATCCCCTCTCTCTTCCCTTAAAGGTACAATACTTCTACTCTTAGTCCATGCATTCATAACATGTCTGTGGTCCAAGGGTGGACACAGAAATTATGCCTTATCAGTGAGGCCTCTTGGCCTCTGTAATTGGTTCAGATATGGATACGTGACTCATGCTTGGCCAGTTAAAGCCAAGCATAGAGATCCTATTTTAGGACTTCAGTTGTAGATACTGGGAAAGAAAAGCAAGCCAAGAGAAAGAGAAAGTTCAGTGGATCTCTTCTGAGTCACAGAAGTTAGACATGATTGCAGCCTGGGAGTTTTCAGGTTCATGGATCAGTGATTCTCTTTTTTTTAAATTTAAGCCAGTTTCTTATTTGATAGTTCAGGCATACTAACTAAGGTGCTCTCAATTTGTATATGACAGCTCCCTGGGAGATATCAGTTTCTGATTATCTTTATGTCTCTAACTTGCTGAGTGCAACAGCATGCAAACATTAGTCCCTCAAGAACCTTTTGAGTGAAAGAATGCATAATAAACAAAAACCAAACAAACAAACTCACAGAGTACACGAACATCATACTGAAGGGAATCTTCTCCAGCCTCATTCACAGCCACACACGTGTATCTCCCAGCATCTTCTACTTTAGCCCGAGGAATCTGTAACACTCGCCCTCCTGAAAACAGATGCCAGTACATATGTCTACTTCTCTAAATCTTAGAGTGAAAGTGGTCATAAACAGAGCTATAACTTTTCAGCTCTAATGACTTCCTTACATTTTCTAAGGCCCTCATCCAGTGTTAACCCCCCATACCACATTTATACCAAACAGTGCATTACTGAAAAGTGATCCAGCATATAAACGAGACCCCCTGAGAACTAAAGAGCTTATGTAGATTTTCCTCAAGGGAGGAATGTTGCTCTATGCCCTGCTCATGTTCCATGTGGAATGCTGTTACGTGGTGACGTCTTGCTTTTACATAAAATTCTAAACACATGTGAGAGGAGCCCAGCCGGTCACAGAGAGTCAGACATGACATACTGACTAAATGATAACAAACAACAGCAGCAAAAGGAGTTTACACTGTTGGAGATAAGTACTGATTTGAGCAAATAATAGCCAAGGATATAAAAGGTATAAAGTATACCATTAAAGAATAGCTATATTTTCAAACTTTTCATGATGGTGTAATTTCAAACAGAGAAAAGTTGCAATACTTATATAAAAATTTTATCTATATCAATTATTTATATTTAAATCCATTAGTTTGATCTCTGTCATATATATGTACATATTAACTTTTATTTATCTATATATAAATATGTAATACTCTTGAATGATTTAGAAAAAGATTACATATATATATAAAATTTGAGAGTAAATTGTTAACATGTTGCCCCTTTACCCTTAAATACTCACAAATCTATATTTCATAAAACAAGGATAATCCCTATATAATGATAGTATAATGATCAATATCAAGAAAAAACTACTATTGAACCAGAGTCCATATGCAAATTTCATTATTATTATATTGTCTTTTATATCTATTTTCTTCCCAAGCTCAGATCCAATATAGGATCACATACTATATCTGGTGATCATTTCTATTTAGTCCCTTTTTTAACTCCAAGATTATTTTATTTAGTTGAGATGAAGTTTATATACAGTGGAAGGCACTGGACTTTAAACGTACAGTTTGATAAATTTTGACAAGCCTATCTGAATATTTGCTAAAAGTAAATAGAAGTCTTGAAAATATTATTCCTCAATTTAAACATCTCTTTTTCCATTGTAAACTATGTAATAACTGAAATATCTGAAACTAATCATCTTTATGATTGATTTATTTGAAATGCATTTAATAATTGAGTAGTAACTATTTGCAAATATACTTTAGAATTTATCATTAATAATGTACAGAAACAGAGCCGATTATTTCATCACACTATATAGAAAAATAGAGGCACCTGGAGCCAAAAGATTTTAACTTGATAGAAAATTAACTAAGGTGTTCTATCCTATGTCAAATTCCCAGCCTAGACTCTCCTAACTTGAAGCTACATAGATACCAGCGGCCATAAAATCAATCAATTTGACTGGTCTAACGCCCACTCCAGTATTCTGGCCTGGGGAATGCCATGGACTGTTATAGTCCATGGGGTCCCAAAGAGTCGGACACGACTGAGTGACTTTCACTTCACTTCACTTCAGTAAATGAGAAGAAGCACATCTGACGGAGATTCAGATTTGCACCCTATTCCTAGCAGTCTTTACCTGGCAAAATCAGTACTCTCTCACTTGAGGTCAGAGGGCGGCCATCTTTATACCACGTCAGCGTAGGAGCGGGAGCAGCGTTAGTCTCACAATAAAGAGAGATGGGATTGTTGACGATCACATCCTTGGCTTCACCTCTCCTGCCAGTATCCACCATGTTCCCTATTTCCCAGAGCTTCTGAAAACTTGGAGGAACTGCAGAGGAAAGACATACACAGTTTTGGACTCATGTAAATGACAGTGTCAATCTATGAAAGAAAGATCTTGGATGGTACAAGAGTGATTTGTACATGTAAGATATTAGACAATGTGAAAATATTTTCAAGTACTTATACACCTACCAACTCAGCCCTTAGCTTAAAAAAAAAAGGTAGGAGACAGAAGTCAGAGCTGGTTCTCCAGTGGAAAAGCAAGAGGCTGGAGCTCAGAATGTTGTGCTCATGTTCTGCTCTCCATTCCTGTTCAAAGGATCTAGCACTTAGAAGATAGATTGTCCTGCTCTTAGGAAGGACCTACTATTAATATAATAAACAAGGCTAAAGAATATGATCATATCAGGGAAAACTAATTTCGAGAAACCATTAAAAAATATTGGCTCAGTAGAGTATTTCCCAATGACTTGTTTTATTAAGAAATCTAAAGAAGATATTAGCCAAGATTAAAAAGTGTATTAACAAAAATAAAGAGACATTCTTAAAGTTTTCTGGGTGAGAACTATGAACATTCTAGAAGGTAATTTGCCTGTACATCAAAAGAATTTAAAAAGTATAGAAACAACTGACCTAAAATTTCTATCATTAGCAACTTATGAAAAATAAAAAATATGCAAAAGTTTTAAGTATAAAGATGTTCAATAAAGTATTACTTATGAGTAGTAAAAGCTTGGACACAACCCAGACAATCAACAATAAGAGTCTGGTTAAATAAATATTTGGATACTCAACTGATAAAACAGGTAAGTTATTAAAAATCATGTTGAGAGCAACAATATCAACAATAAAAACAAGTATCATTTCTTAAGCATTTTGCTAAGAGTTTTATCTAATTTATCTTATTTAGTACTCACTACAATTCTACAAGGCGTTAATTTTAAAAGTGAAGAAAAAGAGGCTTAAAATATGTAGGTAACTCACCAAGTCACAAAGCTTGAAGGAGCCTAAGTTCATCAGATTCCAAGTTTTACTACTTTAAAATCTGATATAATGTTACATTGGCTTTCTCATAAACTTCCGATATAACATTAGGGGAAAGCTAATGTAACAGAGAAGTATGTATTGGGTGATCCCAATTTATAAATAACATACACATTTATAAAAATACATCAAAAGGAAACACACAAAAATAACAGAAGTAATCCTGAATGACAGGATTATTTTCTGCTTTGTTAATTTTTCGAGTCCAAGTTTTCAATAATGAATCTATATTATTGTCAATAGAAAAAAATACTAAAGCAAACCAAGGCAAATCTCTGTCATTGCTTTGCCAAAGCATATAAATGAAATTAAATAAGCATATTAGTATTACCTTGTATATTCACATCAAAATCCAGCTCATCTTCACCTGCGATATTAGATGCTACACACGTGTATCGTCCAGTGTCTGATATTTGAGCCTCCTTGATTTGAAGTGTGTGTCCACTGGCAGCAATAGTAACATGATCATCTGATTTAAGGGGCTGTGATTCAATTATAATAATGTTATCATTAAGTACTCCAATAAATCCCCAAGGGAGCCATGCAGTTGAGAGTTTTTATGATTCTTTAATAAAAATTAAAATGTAGGTCAAATAGAAATACTCAAGACAACAATAAATTTACTTTGAATAAGCTGATTGTTTTTGAGCAATCACGTCTTTATTGATTGAAAATTGTAGTTCATGTAGTTTATATCTGTGCTGGATATTTCTGGGTGGTGCATTTATAAATTATTTATGATGAAAAATGTTCTTAAGGTATCATATTTATGTTTGGAAAAAATATGACTTCAGCTGATCCCACATTGTAGTGAAGCATCTCATTATTTTGTAGCAAATGCTAGAGTTTTTTAAAGAAAGATTGAAGGCATTAGCATAGCCTGATTAGATTTAAAAATCACTATGGCTCATTCAGAAACATCTTTACTTAATAAATGAAAAAATTTAACCTAGAGATATTTATATTATGAGGTTTTATTGATAACATTAGCTACATTTAATAGGACATTTCTCATCTTTTAAACATTCTGTATATACTGAGTTCCCTCTTATTTCTTGAAAATTTTAGTTCTTGGCTCACTGTTACTCCTTCCAATGATTTTTCTCATAATTCTTGGTGGTTTCAAAACCCACATAGGCAGCCATCCAATGCTTTGTGCTCTCAGCTCCTTGAATCTTTTTTATTTTTTTGGTCCCAACCCTCTCTCAGTCACTCAATAGGAGAGTTATACCTAGAACTTGATAATTATCAATAATCACACCTCTTGATAATCTCAGTTTCAAGTTCTCACCTTCTGACCATCACCTCTTAACTCTAACTCATTTTCTCTAGCATCCCAACTCCCATAATTTTTTGTTGCCCCAGGAGGACCCAAAATTCACTGAACTTGCAGTCTTTTCACTATCACTCACTCCCCTCCTGATTCAGAGAAGGTCTATTATGGCAATCACTCCTTGCATAAACTTGCATTAAAAAAAAATCAACTCCTTTCACCTTCTCCCTTTATTTTACTTGCCTAGCAAAACCCTAACCTTGGTTAATACCAGCCTCCGTCCATTCTCTGCATCCCTGGGACTACTCCAGTAACTGTGTCCTTCCTCACATGCATCATCATCAGTTGCCTTGTGCCCACTGGTAGATTTCAACCGCATACAACAGTGCAATTTCCGCATTAAAAACACTTCATTAGACTACTGCCTAACTCCATATTTTTCTATTCTCTTTCATAGCCAGTGACTTTAAAAAGTTTTCTACATTTTCTGTCTCCATTTCTCTCCACTTTTCTTGAACCCTGCAATAAGACTTTTATCATTTCTACTTAACTGAAACAGCAGTGTCAAGGTCATCAGTGACATTGATGTTGCTCAATTTACTGGTCAGTTTCTCAGTATTTATTTTACTTGATCAGTGGTATTTAACACAGTTTAACTTGTCTTAAATTTTGACAACTTTGCTTCCTTATCTTTCGGGACACTTCACTCCCTGCCCCACAACCTCTAAATGGAGGAGTTCCCCGGGGCTTAATCCTTGGACCTCTTCTCTTTCCACCTAATCTCACTCCCAGAGATCTCATGCAAAACCTTTGATTTATCTCTTTCCCTCACATCCTGCTACCACCTTCATCCAAGCAACCAACTTCTATCTCTTGGATAATGGTAATAAATTCATTTCTGGACTTCCTTTTTCTTCAACCAGTAAAGAAGCCAATGTAATCTTTTAAAAATCTTTTAAGTCAGATCATTTCACTCCTGTGTTCAAAATTTTCCAGGGGCTTTCCATCAGTATAAGGCCAACAGATCTATACGCATTATAATCTGTATGTGTGTGTGCTGTCATTCATTCGTGTCTGCCTCTTTGCAACCCTATGGACTGTAGCCGGCCAGGCTCCTCTGGCCATGGGCTTCTCCAGGCAAGAATACTGGAGTTGGGTTGCAATTTCCTTCTCCAAGGGACCTTCCCAACCCAGGGATTGAACCTGCCTCTCCTGCATTGACAGGTAGATTCTTTACCAGTGTGCCCCCTTAGCTCTCAGTATGATCCAACCCTCCGTTAATCTTTTGCTCTTACCTTCCTTTGTGTTTCCACTGATCCCTGCACTCCAGCCCAATGCCTCAGGGCCTCTGCCCCTTGCTAGTCTCTCTAGAATATATTCCTCTCAGGCATCTTACGTCTGCTTCCTTCACTTTCTTTGAGTTTCAGCTTAAATATCACCTTATTGTGAGGTCTTCCCTAGATAATAGGAGATCATACTCCTCATACTTCCTATTCTTTCTGACTGAATTTTCTCTGTAACATTCACCCCTAAGCACTGTGTATTTTATTTTTTTGTTTTGTTTCCTCCCTACCCCTAAACTCCATAAAAGGAAAGGTTTTTTTGGTGTGTGTGTCTGTTTCCTTCATAGTGGTATCACCTGCATCTAAAATAGTGTTTGGCAAATACTATAAGCTCAATAAATAATTTGGGATGCAATGAATCATTATTAACATCACATATAAAAATAGTATAATTTAAACTTTCCATGTCAAAGAAACACTTCAGAGCATGAGTAAACAAACACATAGCAGTAGTAGTAATAGTAGTTAAGTCGCTGAGTCCTGTCCGACTCTTGGACTCCATGGACTAGCCCGCCAGGCTCCTCTGTCCACGGGATTCTCCAGGCAAGAATACTGGAGTGGGTTGCCATTTCCTTCTCCAGGGGATAGATTCTATCAAAACTTATTGTGGTTAATGATGCTGATAATTTTGGTGGCTTTTCTCAAAAACACTGTTTTATTCAAGCAGTGCTGCTTATCTGAGAAATGAACTAGCAGAAGGAATGATATGGAAGATAAACCAAAACCAGCATTTTTTGTACACATTTTAGGGGACCAATTGCAAATCCTGAAAAATTCAGCAATTTAACTAAAGCATCATAACAGGATCAATTTCAGTCTGGATGTAAAACTAGTTTAACTGCTCATTATGAAACTGAAGAAAAACTGCCCTATTCCTAGTAAAATGCCAGATTTTATCAAATTTTTATGGGTATATATGTATACATGTGCATGTGTATAAAATGCAAGGAATGAAAAGCTTTGAGGTAAAATTAAAAATAAAATAATAACATTTCAAAAGAGAAAGGAATTATTTGATTCCAAGCAAACTCATATAGAATTGATATTGTTCATAAAGTGTGTTTGTAGTCAGAAAAGAAACTGTAAACAGAACATGGTGGGAGTTCCATATTTTTCCTTTTGCAATGGCTTCCAGATGAAATTTGCTTATTTTGTAAGAGATGATTTTTTTTTTCTGGCCACCAGGATCGCAGAATGCATCTGTGATATGAAAAAACAAATCAATATCCTTCTGCATCTTAAATTATGACTCTGACCTGAATGTCTACAATTGGAACTTGACTATTTGGTTGATTATGTGTAAAACAGGACAAACATCAGCTTAGCTATGTCACATCTGTATTAGGCACAGTGTTAACAGCAGCTAAAAAAAATCTATTTTGGTCTTAAAACACTAGCACATGTTTTTAAAACATGTATAGAAGTAAGTTATGTTGAATGAGAAATAGTGTGTGGTCTGAAAGTCAGATTACATAATTGAAGGATGTATCTTTCCATGGCGCCAGTTACTAGTATTGGGCACTTCATCATCACATTTAGCTTTTTTTCTTCATCTTAAAATGTTAGGAATATTACCCTTTTGAAAAAGAGTTAAAGGTGTTTAGAGAAAGTTCTGAATAAGCTTAGTATCTATGTTATACCGATCATTCTAATCTGACTCAGCACTGTTTTTGTATTTCTTCTCCACAAAGTTTACTTTGAAAAACCACAGAGCACAAAAATCATTCACCAGTGGGAAGGTGGCTGGATTTTCAAAGACAATTGCTAGTGTATATTAAAACAGTCCTTCAAACTTTTTAGTGATGAAATAATATTAAAATTGTTGAATATGGTTCAATTTTGTGTGTGTGTGTTTTTGCAATTTTACACTCTAGGAGCATGGGACTATTCTAGTTTTAAGGTCACACTGATTCTCTGAGTTACCTGTGTCTGGGTGTTTTGTTTTTTTAATTTAATTGACCATTTTAGTCTATAAAAGACCATCAACAGAAGAAAAAAACTTGACTGGCCTGTCCATCCTTGTACCAGCTGAGAGACGCAGAAGGAATCGCATAGGCTTCACACTCCAAGGTCAGTGTGTTGTTTACTTTGATCTTCACTTCTTTAGGGGAAAGACCTGGCCCCAGGAGGTCCCCTTTATTGATTATGGGTGGAACTGCATAAACACAAATATTAAAGTATTAAACATGAGTTCTTTTACTTTTTAAAAATTTTTCTATTTTAATTTTTTTAATAATGTTGTGCAACCATTAGCACAATCTAATTTTATTTTATTTTGGTCATGCCACATAGCCTGTGGGATCTTAGTTCCCTGGCCAGGGGTTGAACCTGTGCCCCCTGCAGTGGAAGCGTGGAGTCTTAACCACTGGACTGACAGGGAGGTCCCAAACATTAGTTCTTTAAATGGAATGCCATGGAAATCACAATGAGAACCACTTAAGAAAACAAGGAAATAACTTAGGCACTTGTGCTCTCCTTTCATCAAGGACCCAACTGAGCACTTTATGAAACGGCAGTGTTCACACATAGAATGTGGAGAAAATTTTCTTTCTCCCCTCATCACTATAATACTGCCAATGAGGTTAACATCCTTCACAGAACAGTTAGTTTAGTTTGTTCTGGGTCCCCAAACACAGCCTGAGTATAACCCATAAAATGCATTTTATTAGTTTCTAAGGGGAATTAGTTAATGAACAAAAGATAATTAAAAAGATGCTTTTCCTTTCTTTAAAAAAAAAAACCTTCAAATGTAGTCCTTATTAATGCTACTATTTGTTTTGTTTTTTTTTTTAATAAATCAGTGTACAGTGGATCAGCCCAAAGTCACTGACAAACTCATCTGAGGCTGCAGAATAAAGCATGTACAGTTAAGGGACAGTTTTGAGCATGAAGGTACTTCTACACAGCAAAACTGAGAAGAGGGTAATTCATAAGAAAAAAAAAGAGGAACTTAAGAAAGTGCTACTGACAAGTTCTCCAAAATGTCAGTGAGTAGATTCAGTGGGCTTTTCACATCTTGAAGCAATTGAGGTCATGGGCACAAAGTTTAATTCAACTTCCATCTTAATGAAGAGAGTTGCATAAATGATCAACTTTAATGATGAATATAGATAATTATGAACCCAGAATGAAAAACAGAATTGAAAAAGTTAGAAAACCTGAAGAAAACTTGGAACATAGTTTTCTTTCAGAACTTACTGTAGACCTTCACTTCATAGTGCTTTATCATCTCCCCTGCCTCATTAGTGGCTACACAAGCATATCTCCCAGCATTGTCCTCCTGTGCATTTAGGATCTGCAGAGTCCTGCCTCCTGAAAAGCAACGGAACACCAAAGAATCTCTGAAGTCACACTGGCAGTGGGGTTTGCACAAACCACAAGTTTTAGTTCTTACTATTTACCTATTTATTCTTCTCTATGCTGATTCTACAATAGACAAAACTACAATACAGATGGACAAAATACAATATAGACTGGTAAGTCCTCAGTGGTCTGCTGTGGTAATAACTCTTCATGCCCATTCTGACCCTCCCCTGCCTCTCTGCACACACTATAACTAGTGTTTTTATTTATTTATTTATTTTTTTAGCATTTTTAAAATTAATTAAATTGGAGGCTAACTACTTTACAATATTGTGGTGGTTTTTGCCATACATCAACATGAATCAGCCATGGGTGTACATGTGTCTCTACAGACAGTTCTTCTGCCTTAGTCATCTTCTTCCTTTAATCTACCTGGCCTATCAGTAAAGACTGATTTTGCTAAAACAGCTTAAAAAAATTACTTATTTGCTGTGCTAGCTCTTAGTTGCTGCATGCGAACTCTTAGTTGCAGCATGCGGGATCTAGTTCCCTAACAAGGAATTGAACCTGGGCCCCCTGCATTGGGATTGTGGAGTCAGCAACTGGACCACCAGGGAAGTCCCTAAAACACAGTTTTTCATTATAATCTTTCTTCCAAAAAATCTTAAATGATTTTCAACTGACTAAAGTATGAAGTCAAAACTCTTAAATCTATGCATCCAAAACAAGACTCCAACATTCCATTCTGATCTATGTCCTGCATGCCCTCCTCCCTGACATATATACCTGTGCACACAGTCTACTCAGGAGGGAGGTAAGGAGTATTTTTATTATTTATCACTTGCATGTAGACAGGGCATTCTTACCTTCTACTTTTCCCATACTAGTCATTCTGATGGATCTGAAATCTCCCCTAACTCATTTCCAACCAACAAAGTTCTATAACTTTCTTGAAGGTTTAGTTCAAGTTCTGGCTATGACAAACCATTTCATGACCACTTCAGCCTACGGTGGCCATTTCCTTTTTCATTCTTATAAAACTTGTCACTATCTCATTTATTACACTCTATCGATAAAAAAATCATCCTGTGAATGCCTGCCAATGCAAGAGATGTAGGTTCAGTCCCCGGGACGGGAAGATCCCCTAGAGAAAGAAATGGAAGCCGACTCCAGTATGCTTACTTGGGAAGTCCCATAGCCAGAGGAGCTTGGTGGGCGACAGTCCATGAGGTTGCAAAGAGTCAAACATGACTTAGCAACTACACAAAAACATGACTATTCATAACCCATGATTATCCATGGATTCCTACTGTTAATGAACTTCCTTCCACATGTATTATCCCTATAAATTTCTTAAAGTCAGTGATCATACTTTTAAATGCTTTCTGTTTTGGAATAACAAACTCTGTCAATCAAAATACTAACCTTCAAGGTTCAATTTCACAAGAAGTGAATTTCTACCCTTTTTGGTATTCCATATTATATTTAAGCAATTAATCACACTGTAGTATTTATTTACTTGCCTTTTATTTACTTTATTGGTCTTTCAAAAAGTAATTTTATTACCCTAGATTACAAGATATAAAATTTAAAAATAAGATAGCCATAGTACCACGAACAACGTAAGTGTTTATATAAAAATAGCCAATGGTTCTGTTTTTTTTTTTTATAAAAGTAGGTGGCACAAACACATCTTGGGTATCTGAAGTAAGCCAGTTACCTGGAAGAATACGGATATTTCGGTTGGATTCTAAAGGAGTTCCATTCTTAAACCAGGTGATGGTGGCTGGGGGATATGAATAAGCTTCGCAGACCAAAGATGTGGGGCTGTTAAGGATAACAGTGACGTCTTCAGGGCTGCCATCACTACCAACACCAGCAATTATAGGAGATACTGAAAAAGATTTAAAATTTAATCCAAGAAATAGACTCAGAAACTTCTTTATTTGTGCATTTCTAAGTTTCTATAAGTACTTATTTGCATAATTCCATTCCCTAACAACTATAGAAACAACTGGTTATTGTTCTCATCCTACACAATAGCAGTAAGAACCTTCAAAAGCTCACAGAGTGATGGAGGAGATGACACATAAAAGGGAATCCTAACACACTGCAGTGTGGACAATCATGGAAATTGCAGTACAGAGCGGCACCAGAGCATCCAATCAATCCAATCTAAGGTGCGGGGTTGTGAGAGGACTCTCATCAGGGAAGATCACCTAAAGGGGCAGATTTCAAAGTGAGCCTCAAAGAACTGGTACTGGTTAGAAGATGAAAGAAAGGAGAGTAGTAGGAGGCAGGAGCACATTGGGAGCAGAGGAATGTAAACAATGAGGAGCAAGCAGGAAATATACAGAGAATATAGGAAATATACAGAGTTTGGGCTCAAAGGGGTTAGTTTGGAAGCAAGAGAAAGGTACACTTTCCATAAAGTACACTTTACATAGGTACACTTGTTCCATAAAAGATAATGAAAGCTTTTCTACTACACTTGGGAAAAGCATGAAAAAGAACATCAAAAGAAAAAAGAGAGAGAGAGAAACTGGAAAACATAAACTAAATGAAATGAGAGCACTGAATATGAAATAGAAAAAGTGAAACACACTACATAAAAGTAGAAGATCATCATATAGTCCTGTTGTTTTTAAACATGGGTGCTCATTAGAAACACATCTGGAGCTTTGGAGGAAAAAAAGCAATACCCGGGCATTTGTATTTTTCAAAAAAGCTTTCATATACATATACGTGTGTGTATGTGTGTGTGTGTGCGTGCGTGCATGCCCGACTCTTTGTGACCTCATGAACTATAGCCCGCCAGATTCCCCTGTCAATGAGAATTTCCAGGCAAGAATGCTGGGGTGGGTTGCCATTTCCTTCTCCAGTGGATCTTCTTAACCCAGGAACTAAACTCATGTCTCTTACATCTCCTGCATTGGCAGGCAGATTTTTACTGAGCCACTTGGGAAGCCCATATATGTATACATATATAGTATGTATAATATGTATTTTTTAGAAAACTTATGAAATTTTGCCTAGCTAAAAAATTTATGACAGTTTGATTCTATTTGTTTGAGTTAGCATGAATAGAATGCTAGATTTCTAATTTATATTCACTCAAAATTTTGATATAGTTCCATGTGCTCTGGCATCTAGTATTACTGCTAAAAGTCTAAAAAATTTATTATCTTGGTAATTAAAAACAGTTTGAATGAGGTTTGAAACTTCTAATCCAATTCTGAGAATATACAGAAATATTATTTTGTAAAACAAAAATAATGAGGGCCTGAACTAGAGCAGTGCAGAAAGGAACAGAGAGGAGGGGACAACTAAAGAAGGATTTAGAAAGCCAACTGTCAGGACTTGATGATATAATTTAATGGGTTAAGAAACCAAAGTCAAAGGTAACTTCCAATTTTCTTGCTTGGGAATGAACCTAGGCAAATTGCACTGAGGCAAAACAAAGAGAAAATATGGAAAGATTTGCACATTCAGGAGGGGAAGGTGGTTTGTTCAGTCTATCTTACATTTTAAGTGCTTGTGAGAATTCCAGGTAGAAATGTCCAACAAGTAATTGTATATAGAAATCTGATCCTTGGGAGAAAGATCTGGGTTGCAGGTATGGATTTTAAAAAGTCTCCAGTTGATAGGAAATGATAATTAAACCTCTGGGGAATTAAATTTGTTACCTGATGAGACTAGAGTCAAATGAGCAGTGAAATAAGGATGAAACATAAGGGGACCTAACGTTTAAGAGATGGATTAAGTAAGAGTTCATAAAGGAGCGAGAAAGAGAGCAGCCAAAGGTATACAAGGATAACTAGGGAAGGACAGTGTCCAGGAGAAAGGGACACATCATTAGGCGATCCAAACATTAACATAAGAATTGAACAATGTTTGATCTAACAATAGGTAGTCTTCCAACAGTAGTATCAAGAATGGTGTGGGCAGAAGCTTGTTTTTAGTGCGATAAGATGTATAGACAGAGTGTTGACTATATGAAGTGATGGAGGCAACAGAAGATGAAGCTGGAAGTAAGGCAGACAGTGGGTATGACTGACAGACCAAAGAAGGGGGACAAGATACAGGATGAAGGGCAGAAGCAATAACTGTGAACAAAAAGGATAATTCACCCTCTGGGAAAAGAAAGAGTAAAAACACTGAATTATGGCTAGGTAGACTGGAACTTACAAATATACACACTTAAACAGCCTTAGCTTTATATGAAGTTGGTGAAAAGAAGACTGTGATTTAGATCCCTCATCTTCAATGAATGAATGAGAATGGCAAGAAATAACCAGGAAGTGAGTAGGAAGTGGAGGGAAGAATATAGTCAGATAATATAACTTAAGATGCCTGTGGCAAAGAATAAGTGATCTGCACTGGAGAGAATCCCCAGGGAGCCGATGTCTCTTGGGAGGAGTCAGAGTTCAATTACTGCAAGGAGCTGGAACGAGTTTGAAATCCAGTTTCCAGAGGACAGGGCTAGGATTTGGGCATAAGCCAGTACTGGGAGGTCAATCAGTGGTAGGAGGAAGGGGGCCTGAAGAATTTAGGGCTCTAAGAGAAGCAGCAGGTTACAGCAGAGGGGAGGAAATCGAGGGCTTCAAACACTGATGGGCATGCAGGGAAGATGAGTTTGTTATAGGACAACTGGTTCATGAACTCTTGTTATTGATCCATACATAACATATTAGGTGCTGGGGCTATATTTTTTCAAGATAAAAACTGTTTTGCCTTAGGGAGCTTATATTTTATATAATTATTACTTATATATAGGGTATTCATTTGACACTTACTTATACATTATTCATTATTCTGACTTAACTTTTCTGGCCTACATGTCTCTTCTACTTTCAACTAGACTGTAAACTGCTTGAGGACTGTATCGTGTATGAGACGAGCTATTCCACTAGTCGAGCCAGTAAGTATCACAACATACAAGTAAAGAAATTAAAAAACTGCAAAAATTTGCATCCTCAATTATAATCAGTTTTTTTTTAGTGGAATGAAACATGTTTTGATATCAGTAATCTATGCAATATCCTTAGGTGGTGCACTTTAAATTTCTAATGTGAGCAGAAATCTGGACTCTATTTTAATGTCATTCCTGAGACATAAGTATAACTTTAATGCTATAGAAACTGAATGTACAGTTATTTCATCATTCTTAGTCCATCTGTTTTCATGGTATAGTTTTTCTTGAGTTCAAAGGGCTTGATATTCAAATGTACAACTGATCTGTGTTAAATGAGAAGGAAACCATTTGAGATTTAAAACCTACACTTGTGGTCTCAGTATACTCTTTAACCGAGGAATCTTCACAGTTCATCACTGACTCAATATAGAATTTACACATTGCATATTAATCTCAAGAGGAGGGAATTTAGCTGGGAAAAAGAATCACTAATCAAATGGTTAAAAACCTAAATTTGTAATTTCAATGTAATTTACTGCATAGCACTACCCTCTAAGACTTTCTAGGTATTAGTGAGTTAGCAAACGACATAGATAAACACACATAAAAATAGAGGAGCAGCATGCTATATGAAGGAAAAGAAAATCTACAGCAGTTGCTGACCCCAGTGGGAGCAGCTCCCAGTTCTGCTATATGTTAGCAAAGGGAAGAAGAGATGATGTGTTTTAAGACAGAGGAAACACACTTCTAAAATAAAAGCATTTTAATGCTGTTTTAACCCTTCGGCCTCACAAGGGATTGTGTTAATTCATTATCACTCATGAGCAAGCATACAAGTTTGATGAGCTTGTCCACATCTGTTCTTCATCTTAGTTACCAACAGAGATTCCAGTATGTACAATTACCAATAACGGCAGAATCCCCCGAAGAAATGATAAAATATCTCACACATTGAGCCCCTTTCATTGTTGACCTGCTTTTCTTTGACCAGTATTTGTTTTTCCTTTATTACTGTTTTTTTAATGTATATCTCATTCATAACTGTGCTTAGCACAAAACACAGCACCTGGAAACAGTAGGTATGCCAAATGGAATGAATGAATGTATAAATTAATTAATGAAAGAAACCAGCAAATGTACACAAACTCTGGTCCAGGTAGAAATATTAACTAAACAATAAAAGAAGAGAATTGAATTTGTTGCCATGGCTGATGCTTCAAGATTTGAAGCAATGCTTACACCTACCCAACACATTAAGACTGAAACTTTTGCTCTTGTCACCAGCTGTATTAGAAGCCAAACATGTGTATCTTCCAGTGTGTGACACTTGGGCATTCGTAATTTGAAGAAAACGACCACCAGACATAAGATGATGAGTGTCATCTTCTTTGAGAAGCTGACCATCTTTATGCCATGTTATTTCTGGTACTGGACTCCCTGTAACAAAAAGACATTTCTGAGAGTTGGCTAATTATCACATCTACAATTGGTAACTAAAAGGATGCATTTTAAATAGTGCTGCAATGAACACTGGGGTACATATATCTTTTCAAATTACGGTTTTCTCTGGATTATACTCCAATACAAAATTAAAAAATAAAGAAAAGGATGCATTTTTCATTCATTTCCCTTTTTAATTATTCCACTTCTAAAAGAATGGACTAGCTAATTCATTTAAAAATAAATTTGCAAACATAAGCAAATTTACAATAATAATCAGGCTTATATTTTAAAAATATACAAGGGAAATAGTTATATTAGTCTTTGTGTTTAACTAAATTTATACCATACCTTGGGCTTTCCTGGTGGCTCAGATGGTAAAAAATCTGCCTGCAATGCAGGAAACCTGAGTTTGATCCCTGGGTTGGGAAGATCCCTATGGCTACCCATTCCATTGCTCTTGCCTGGAGAAGTCCATGGACAGAGGAGCCTCGCGGGCTACAGTCCATGGGGTTGCAAAGAGTCAGACACATCTGAATGACTAACACACACACACACACACACACACACACACCATACCTTAGGCTATTACAATTAAATATTTTCATAGTAAAATACATTTTAAAAAGAATGGAGCATGCATTTTTACTAAAATTGCTACTCATGAATACCTTTATATGCATATTAAATTTCTAAAGATTTCATATTTTTGAGGGAAAGCTGCAAATAAGGAAAGCCTTTAATTAAACAATTCAACAACCAGGTATTTTGTGTTTGTATCAGGATTCTAGCATAGATATACAGATAGGTAGAAAGATAGAAATAAACAGTATTATTCCTTTAATATTTATAGCCTTTAGAAAAAATAACTTTTGTATTTTTAATGAGACTTTTAAAAATACTGTTTTAAATTGCTCAAATTTTTTGTTTTTGAAAATGTAAAACTATAAAAACAAGTTCTGTTAGGAAAGTGGACAAGGATGATATATTAAGGCCCAACGGTATTGGCCATGAAGTCTGTTCTATAGCCCTAACAGGGCAGGAAAGCAAACTCACAGGTTCACCTAACTGCTGAGTATAGGACACATGGCACGCCGTGTCCTGACCTCACATCTCAGGAAGAGACAGTGGGCCTCACCCAAATAGAGACCCTGACAGAAAGGCGCATCTGTACAAGCATGCTACCAGCTGACCCAGACAGAATCCCAAGTTGAGCTGCATGGTGAAGAACTATCTCTGCTGAAGCAAACTGTTAGTCTGGAAATGGAGACCCTCAAGTGTACAGATACCACTGCAAGGGATTGGTTAAACATGACGCTTCACTGGAAACTAATAAAGCTCCAATAACAAAATAACTGACTCTAAAAATGTGGAGGTCTATGAATAATCCTCTTAAAGAAGACTAGTAAACAAAAGTAAGAAAATAATGCATGAAGAAAATGAGTTCAACAAAGAAATAGAAACCACAAAAAAAACACCCCAAAAACCCCACAACCAAACAAACAAATCCTAGGGCTAAAGAATACAATGACCGAACTAAAGAATTCAAAAGAAAGCCTCAACTTCAGACTTGACCAAGAAAAAGAAATAATCAGTGAACTAGAAGATTTGAAATGATCTAATCAGAGGATCAAAATGAAAAAAAGAACGAAGAAACATGAAGAAAGCCTACAGGAGTTACGAAGTACTATCACCGAAGCAATATTCACATTATGGGAATCCCAGAAGGAAAGGAGAATGAGAAAGGAAGAGAAAGTATATTTAAAGTGGTAATGGCTGAAAACTTCCCCAAATAAACATTTACATTCATGAGTCCCCAAAGATCCCAAATAGTCTGAACTAAAAAGGGCTACATTTAAATACATTATAACTAAATTTTAAATGTAGTAAGAGGGAAGCAACACATCACATAAAAGGGAACTCCCGTAAGAGTAGGCAGATTTCTCATAAGAAACTTAGAAGGCTAAGAGAGAATAGCCTAAGATACTCTACATATTGAGAAAAAAAAAAAAAAGCCTGTCAACCAAGAATACTAAAGCTGACAAAATATGAATAAAAGATTTTCCCAAGCAAACAAAAGCTGAGAGTAACAAACAAAAACAAAAACCACCACCAGACCAGTCTTCTAAGAAATTAAAAATGGCATTCTTAAATGGAAATAAATTAGATATTAGAGCAGAAATAAATGAAATAGAGTACAAGAAAACAACAGAAAAGATATAAAACTAAGAACTGGTTCTTTGAAAAGATAAAATTTACAAACCTTTAACTAGACTAAGAAAAAAAGAGAGAGAAGAGAGAGGATCAAAATAAATAAGATTACAAATGAAAGAGGAGACACTACAACTGATACCACAGAACTACAAGAATCATAAGAGACTACTCTCCAAAACTATAGCCAAAAAGCTGAACAATCTAGGAGAAAATGAATAAATTCTTAGAAATATAAAACCTGCCAAGACTAAATTATGAGAACACAGAAAATTTTAAACAGACCAATTACTAATAAGGACATTAAACCAGAAATCTAAAACCTCCCAATAGGGAAAAGCTAAGACCAGATGGTTTCAGTGATAAATTTTACCAAATGTTTAAAAAGGAATTAATATCAATTCTTTCCAGACTCTTTAAAAAATTGACAAGGGGACATTCCCCAACTCATTTGAGAAGGCCAGCATTACCCTGATACCAAAGTCAGGTAAGAAAGAAAACTACAGGCCAATATCCCTGATGAATACAAAAAAAAAAATTCTAAAAAAAAAAAAACAAAACTTAGAAAATGGAATTCAACATTAAATTAAAAGGATCATGCACCACGATCAAATGGGATTCATCCCTGGGATGCAAGGATGGTTCAAGACACACAGAAATATAATACATCACATCAACAGAATGAAAGATAAAAATCACATATCTGTATCAGTAGATGCAGAGAAGCTTTTGACAAAATTCAACATCTGTTCATGGTAAAAAAAAAAATCTCAAGAAGTCGTATATAGAAGGAACATTCTTCAATATAAAATAGGCCATATAACAACTCTGCAGCTAGCATCATACTGAAAGGTGAAAAAGTTTTTTTTTTAAGACTAAGAACAAGATGGGAGTGCCCACTCTCACCATTCCTATTCAACACAGTATTAGAAATCTGAGCCAGATAATCACACACAAAAAAGAAAGGGCATCAGAAGTTGTCTCTGTTTGTAGATGGCATGATTATAGAGAAAATCCTAAAGATTCCACCCAAAAAAACCTGTTAGATTTAATTAACAAATTCAGTAAAGCTTCAGATACAAAATCAAGATAAAAATCAGTAGCATTTTATATACTAACAACAAATTATCTGCAAAAGAAATTTTTTAAAATCTCATTTAAAATAGCATCAAAACCAAAAAATACTTAGGAAAAAGTATAATCAAGGAAGTGAAAGATCCCTACATTGAAAACTATAAGACACTGATGATATAAATAAAAGAAGACACAAATAAATGGACAGATATCTCGTATTCATGGACTGGAAGAATTAATATTGTTAAAATGTCCATATTACTCAAAGTTGTTTATAGGTCCAATACAATCCCTATGAAGATTCCCATGGCATTTTGTTTTTAAACAGATACAGAAAAAAAAAATCTTAAAATTTGTTTGAAACTACAAAACATCCTCAATAGCCAAAGTGATCCTGAGAAGGAAGAACAAAGCGAGAAGCATCACATATCCTCATTTTAAACTATATTACAAAGCTCCAATCATCAAACCAGTAAGGTATTCCATCAAAAAAGACACATAGCCCAATGGAACAAAATTTTAAATGGAAAGATAAACTGATACATATTCAATCAGGAGGTTCAAGAATACTCAATGGAAAAAAACATTCTTTTCAATAAATAGTGGTGGAAGAACCAGATATTCACACACAAAAGAATGAAACTAGATCCATATCTTATACTATGCATAAAAATTAACTTGAAATGGATCAAAGACTTAAATGTATGACCTGAAGCTCTAAAACTCCTGAAAGACAACACAGGGACAAAGCTCTTTGACACTGGTCTTGGCAATGATTTCTGAGATATGACACCAGAAGTATAGGCAACAAAAGCAAAAACAAACAAACGGGACTATATCAAACTAAAAAACTCTATGCAGCAAAGAAACCATCAACAAAATGAAATGACAACTATAAGACAGGAAAAATATTTGCAAGCCACTATCTGATAAAGTGGTTAATATTCAAAATATGTAAGGAACTCACATAACTTAACAGCAAAACACACACACACAAAGATACAAAGGATTCAATTAAAAATTTGGCAATGGGCCTGAATAGATATTTTTGCAAAGAAGATATTCAAATGTCTGACAGGTACAAGAAAAGGTGTTCAATGTCACTAATCAACCAGGAAATAAAAATCAAAAACACAACGAGATAACACTTTACACCTGTTAGAATAGCTATTACCAAAAACATAGGAGTTACAGATGTAGAAAATAAACTTATGATGACTAGGGAATAAGAGAGGGGAGGGATAAATTGGAAGGCTGGGACTGACATATACACACTACTATATATCAGATAGGTAACTAGGAAGGACCTACTATATGGCACAAAGAAATCAGATAACTAATAAGATCTACTGGATGGCACAAAGAACTCTCCTCAATACTCTAATGACCTGTATGGGAAAAGAATCTGAAAAAGAGTGGATATATGTATATCAGATTCACTCTGCTATACTCCTAAGACTAACACGTTGTAAATCGACTACAGTCCGATTAAAAAAATTTTTTTTTAAATTACAGTTAATGACAAGTGTTGATGAGGACGTGAAAAAAAGGAATCCTTGTACACCTTTGGAGGGAATGTAAATTGGTATAACCCCTATGGAAAACAGTATCACAGTTCCTCAAAAAACTGAAAATAGAATTACTATGTGTCCAACAATCTGAAGAAAATGAAATCACTATTTCAAAGGAGACATCTGCATTTCCATGTTCACTGCAACATTATTCACAATAGCCAAGACAAGGAAATAACTTAAGTGTCCATAGATACATGACTGGATAAAGATAATGTGACTTATGAAAAACTATACATATAATTTAATGTTATTATTAAATACTATTATTCTACAATATATAATACTAATATTAAATACTATATATATGTGTGTGTATATATATATATATATTTATTTTTTTTAATATCATCCAGCCATGAAGAAGAAGGAAATCCTAACATTTGTGACAACATGGATAAACCTTGAGGACATTATGCTAAGTGAAATAAGTCAGACAAAGACAAATATGGTCTGATCTCTCTTATACACAGAGTCTAATAAAATCAAACTCACAGAAATTGAGAACCCATTAGTGATTGTATAGGTAGGGGGTTGGAGGTGGGATAAATAAGTGAAGGTGGTCAAAAAGCACAAAATTCTAATAACAAGATAATAATCATGATTACAGTTAATGATACTTATTGTATACTTGAAAGCTGCAAGAAAGTATATCTTAAAAGTTCTAATCACAAAAAAAGTGTGCAGCTATGTGAGGTGATGGATGTTAACAGTGTGGTAGTCTCTGTGTGTGTGTGGATGATCATTATGTTGTTCACCTTAAAGTTATGCAATATTATATATCAATTATATCTTGATGAAACAAAAATAAAAAAGAAATTTCTAAAAACCAAATGACAACAGTAAGAAGCTAGAAGGCTCAAGATAAGATGTTATAAAATTTAGGCAGATAGTCTCTATGCATAGTCGTTACCACATCATTCTAAAAAAAAGAAAACAGGTTACACAATGTATATGTGACAGTTTTTATATCTGCCTTTCTAAAATGAAAATACTTCCTTGCTTTCATAAATGTATTATAGGGCATCTAAACAACAAAGCAATAAATTAATTGAATCTTCCTTAAAACTCTTACTTTCTATAAAATGTATGGGCTGCTCCAGTTGTTCCATTAAAACTGCAAGGTCATGTCTTCACTAAAGAGATGGTCTCAGAAATGTTCTCTCATAGATTTATTTGTATTACATACAACACAATGATTCATGGGGAAAGCCAGTAAAATTGGCTTTAGAATTTTCATTTTTATTCAGCTCCATTCTCTTTATCATATACAAACATGTTAACTAAAGGTGACAATTTTGATCATAATTGATGGTGGGTAACTATTAGTGATGCTATCCTTTCACCAAAATTATTTCTTTGAAGAAAACAGTAAAAAGGAAAGGAAGGTACAAACGTAGGGAAGGAAGGAAAAAAATAACAGGAGGTGGGACAGAAAACTCCTTCCCACAAACAGAAGAAGTAAAGAAAAATAATTTACCTAATTCAAAGAAAAGACCAGAATGTATTTCTTTCTCTGTCTCTGTTCCATGCTTCTCTCCCTTCCTTGTTTCACTGTTAAGAATTTCCTTTTTATCTCCATAGAATCTGAAAGATTTCCTCTTATATTTCTACCATCTATACTGGTTTAGAATTCAATTTCAAATGCTTGATTTTTCTCAACTAATTGTGATGTAAGTGAAAGCAATGAATAGCCAGTGAGCTGAGGAAGAATCTAAGAGATGAGCCCCTTACCTGTCACTTCACAAGTCAGTGTAACACTCTGTTTCTCTTTTACTTTCACATCTTCAAATGTATTTTCACCCACGATGTGAGGTGGTACTTAAAAAAAAAAGAAAGAATGAAAAAGGAACAATTGTAAAAGCAGTTTGGTTATTTATAGGTATCTATTTTATATTTTTTTATTAGGCTGTACCCTTTAAAACAATCCAAATTCTCATTATTATTTGTTTACTAGAATAATGTTACCATATTGCTTGATCAACTAAACTATAAACTTTAATTATAATGAATTTTATTATATGTAAATCATGAAATCCAGATAAATATGTCAACAAGTCAATAAGTAAGAAAATCTACTAGACACTTATTTCTCTCTCTACAATTCAGATACAGACTGACATTAAAAAAGTTATCACGTTCTTAGAACACTGGTGAACAATTGTGAACTGACAAGACATGGCATTTCAGCCATTTTAATCCAACCGATTACATACAAACTATTCTGACATTGAATTCTTGCCAAGAGTCACAATCCAGGGGCCAAAGAATACATAAATATAAGATCAAGCTGCAGATAAATGTTAAATCTGCTTCCAGAATGTGTTTAAGATAATTTTATTTTTTTCTGCTGTTGTTGTCACTCAGTCGTGTCTGACTCTGTGAGCCCATGGACTGAAGACTGCAGCACACCAGGCTTCCCTGTCCTTCACCATCTACTGCAGTTTGCTCAAACTCACGTCCACTGAATCAATGTTGTAAACTGTATAAATACCTAATACTGAAAGTCGAAAGATTTTTCTTTCTTCACCAGCTGCGTTTCTTACAACACATGTATACTGGCCAGCATCTTCTGTTCTGGTCTGTATCAATCGCAGAATCCTACCTCCTGGAGAAGCAAACCACCAGATGACTCAAAAAGAAATCTGTAACTTTACAAGTTTGCCATGCAGTGCTGAATTTTGGTAAAATTTAATCAATTCACTTCAAAGTCCTTTAAAATGTATTTATGTCAAGCTTTTTTATAAATATCACATTTTAAGGCTGTATATAACAGAATGGATAATTCAGAATAATTTTCCAGTTTAATGGACAAAGAAAGTTAATACAAACCCAGGTGACACCAAGCAAGAAATGGAGTTTCACAGAAGTGATGTTTGAACATAATCTTGAAAGGTAAGCATACTTTAACACAGAAAGGAGTCAAGAGATACCACTGTAGGTAGAGTATGAGGTTATAGAGGTAGAAAGTAGGTGTGGCACCTAAAACAGAACAGGGGGAGAAGATAGTGAGAGATGAGACTAGTTGGAGTATGACCAATTTTGAGGATTCTGTGGGTGCTCAAAGGAAATGTTAAGGAATTTAGGCTTTATTATGTTCACTAAAGGCTATGGAAGTATGTAAACAAACAAAGTCATGGTATGATTCATACTTTAGAAAAACAACTGTGACAATGTTTAGGAAAAGATTCCCAGTTTCCCATGGAACATATGAAATGGAAACATTAGAAAGAACACTACACCAACAACCCAGATAGGAATGACATCAATTATATAAGGGATGGATGAAACCATGAAGACTGACAACCAGTTTTCAATTTGAATTTCACGGAATTCTAGAGCTATTTATATCAAAGTTTATGAGGGTCACCTCCCTTTACTAGCATGACTCTGATTTTTTTCCTCCTTATAGTCTGAACTTCTACATAATGAAGAAAGATTCTGGTAGAGTGGGAATGAAACTGATATGCTGAAGGGTGTGATTTGGAGGAAAATTCCTCTTAAGATTCAAGGAAAGAGGAGTCAGCAAATGAGACTGAAACATATTGAAAGAGCAGAGTCCTTGAAATCGTTTGAGAAGTAATTTCTAAGAACAAAATGTAAATCACTTCTTAGATTTTGTAATAATTTTTCATTTGGTATATTTTTGCTTAGTACTCTGAATTTGAACTAAAACAATTGAAATGGTTAAACATAAAATTTTCATGTAAATATTCACCTGGATCTGAATTCATCAGGAATTTCCATCTGCTTTCTGTTTTTATAAACACAGCAAGTCCTCATTGAGCTTTTTTTTCCTTTAAGCAACCTACTTATCCTCAACCCACTGAAAGATGAACTTTGTCTAGCATCTTACTTAGACAAAATGGATTACCAAATTCAGTCTTTTTCCTCAGTTAAATTTAAGTAAGCAAAGTTGAATACAAAAATTCTCTAAACATGTCAAAAAACTTATATTAATTAAGAAAAGATTCAAGCACTCACTACTACTTCAGATTAGTGAGACCGTGAGACCATACTATGATGCCAGTTGAGAGATATTATTAAAACAATACAACTTTTATAAGTCATTCCTGGCTCAGCAAACCTCAACCTCATAAATCTCACCATCTTTTTTTTCTCTTTGTTTCCTGGTCCTCTCCCTTATTCCAGTGAAAGACCAAAAAAAAAAAAAAAAGATTTGACAGTAAGTTAAGACTTAGATGGAGACATTTCTTGTACCTATTAAATTTTTATAGCAGCTATCTGTTCTTGGCAGGTAACTTCATAACAATGATAGAGCCTTCAACAATGTACTGCTTTCAGAAAATTTGACTTAACGTCTCAGGAGAACTAATCTTAATGAAACAGAAAGGGGCAGCAGATCAAGGAACGAGAGAGTCATACGCCATTCATGTGATTCTCAGTCATCAAGTGCACAACACACATGTTCAGACTGTAAAACTGAATGACTCCTCTGGCAGCATCACAAGGTGAAATGCTTTTAACGTGTTCGCTCAGGGATCTCCATTTGCTAGTCAAGCAAAACAAAACTGTATGGTAAAACCAAAACACTACTGTGAATCTATTATAGGCAGAGCACCTCACTCTGTCCTGACTTTTTCATTTCCAGGAGCTCTGATGTAGTTATATTTAAAAAGTTTCCTACTTTTTCAGAAATTGAGAATGGAAAAAAAACAAAAACAATACAAGGATATTTCTAAGAGAAGAAGATAAAGTGTTCAGGTTTTTGGTAACCAAATTATCATAAAATCTTTGCCATCAGTATGCATTCTCTAAAATCAACACAGGATGGAAGTCTCAAGAAAATGAATGCACTGTAGGACATTGGAAAGTTTCCCAGGATAGGGAGACCCAAACTTTTTAGCTGGTTGTCTATGACAATAAAAGGAAACATGTTATTGGATGCTTAGGACATAAGCAGGCACTGTGCTGGCTGCTTTACACATATTAACTCATCTTTATAAAAATCCCTAAATACTACTACTATCTTCACTTACAAGTGAAGAACTGAGGTTAGCAAAGTGAAGTAACTTGCCTGAGGGCACAGATCTAGTATTGTAGGTAATGTGTGCATGCATGCTCAGCTGTGTCTAACTCTGTGACTCCATGGACTGGGGCCTGCCAGGCTCCTCTGTCTATGGGATTATCCTGGCAAGAATACTGGAGTGGATTGCCATTCTGCTCTCCAGGGGATCTTCCTGAGTCAGGGATCGAACCTGCATCTCCTGCATCAGTAGGCAGATTCTTTACCACTGGGAAGCCCATTACAGGCAATAAATATTGATAATAATTATTTTTATTTATATAATTAATTATAGGCAATAAATATCATAACTACAGCAATGTACATTTCTCATTTAGTCCCTATCATTTATAGACCAAGATCTTGAAGAAATAGATAATAGAATATTTAGATCTAATTCAAATACAAGGAAAACATCTTTTCTGAAAAATCCTTCTAAAGTGGGAATTTAAACTTTGAATACACTTAGGGGCAAGGAGCTCATTACCTCTTAGAATAGTTCATCTTGACTTTCAACAACACAAATATTTTTTTAAAGTTGTTTGTATTCAGACCCAAATCTGTCCCTAGAATTTTCCGTACACTAGCATTACTTTTAACCTCTGGAACTACATAGAACCAACATAATCTTTTCTACCCCATGGCTCTTCAAGTATTTAAATGTAATTTTCACTATGAGATCATCAGGTTACACAAAGTTTATTTTTTCAGATTAAACGGAATCAAGCACATAGCTTATTTTGCAATCATTGGCCATCATGGTTATCCTTCATGAAAATATTGTCAATAAATACTTCTTACATCTTCCTAATGAGTAAGATAAGTTCAGAATACAACCAGTCATGTCTTACTGGTAAAAACATATTCAGGTGGCAAAACACTGTATTTGTTTTTTGCAATAAAACACCTTACACTGTTAATGCATACTCAATCACTAACACAATTCAGAGATCTTTTCATATGAAGAATTCTGAAGCAATATTTCTTAGCAAAACCCTAATTTTCATCACTAGTTTTTGAATGCAAGTACAGGAGTCTACTTAACTTTCATTTTGTTAGGTTTAATTCAGAAGTTCCAGAGTAAGATGTGTTTGAATTCAGACGTCTTCATTCAACACATTAGGTATTCTTCTAAGTACCCCTGCTTTTTATTACCCAAAAACTTGGAGAGATTATTTTCTTAGTCTGTATCCAAGTCATTAGTGAAAGGAGCCAAGTGTAGATTCCAGGGGCATGCCCCAAGACATCTCTCTCCACACTTACACTGATCTATAAAGAATAAGATAATAGATTTTCCTACATAATTAGATGAGGAATCAGCAGAGTATCTTCTATAATAACGATGAAGTCTTAGCTCAAACTATCCCATCTTGGAAATACAAATCTCACTTAGAACAGCTATTAATAAATTCAAACACTTTGTTTGAATATGGAGTTATGTTATATAACATTATACCCTCTAGGCTCTGGTTTCAATTCCAGTACTTCTTTTCATTCTTCACTTTTCAAATTAGTTTGTACTCATTCTAGCATGAATGCTCTGACATCCCCATGAATTAAGTAATAATCGAGTGCCAAGATTACTCTTTCAAAAGGATCCAGAGATATTTAAAGATTTTCCCCATTGTCCTATAGCTTCTGATGTCATTCCAAAGTGTTTTCTTAATATGATCAGTGGATACTATAGTAAGCAGTTAGCTCAAAAAAGGAAAAAATAAAACATGGAGATATGAGAAATTAAAGAGAAGCTGTGGCCACAGGAAGCTAACCAGATTACCAAGAGACAAGAATTTTTAATACCTGAGAGGATTCGCAGGGAGCTGCTAAGGTTGATGGGCCACCCATCTTTAAGCCACGTAATTGAAGGCAGGGGAATTCCTGAAGCTTCACAATTGAGGGACACTGAGCTTTTTTCCACCACACTTATATTTTCGGGTGTCCTGTGGTTTCCAATGATGCTTGGAGGGGCTGTAAGACAAAGGGCCAAATTCTAAATAGTTTATTCTTAAAAATAATTTTCTGGTCAACACTAGCAAAATAAACAATGACAACAATGAGATGATGATGATGATGATGATGATGACTGACATTCCTGGAAGTAAAAATGTGAAGGAGCTGCCTGAGACTCAGAGATCAGCTAAGAGGGGCAGAGGAGGGGGAACCCAGAAGCCTAGAGAAGACAGGAGTGACCAGCTCCTAGAGGGCAAGTATGCCTTGTGGTTGGAAACATGTGAAACACACGAAGGAGGCTGAGAAGGCAAGTTTGGGCGAAGAGCAGAGTACAATCAGGATAGTCTAAGGATGGGGTGGCAGGTCAAATTGACCCAAGAGGCTTGGATCTATATGCCCCTCAGTAGTCAGGGAAAGTTACCCCTCCATCATGTTCTCCTTCTGTACAGAGCAGGGCCAGTGACACTCTACTTTCAGGGTCTCACAGAATTGAAGCAAGCAGAGGACTGAGTCAACTGGAATTTATCATAATCTGAGATCTTGATTTCTCAACATCAGTCTTGCCTAGGAAATTTTATGACAGACACTCTTGTTAATACACCTGACCTAAATGTTCTTTCCTAGAGGATTGATCAAATAAAGTATGAAACATTCAAATAATGCAATAAGCACCTGTTAAAAAGAATGAAAAAACCCCCACAATTTAACTAAAAGATACATAAGACTGATTCCTTTTCAATCATAAGCTTGATTCACACATTGCTTGCAAACTATACTGGACTTTATGCATGTTTTAACTGGAATTAAGTTAGAAGACTAAGTTTATTAGATTCACCATTGGTTCTATAGATTTAAAAACTCCAACTCAAATCATATGCATACAAATAGGTGTCACACATAAATAGGAGTATATGTGTGTCTGATCAATTCCTACTGACATTTATGCTCATTATTTAGAATTTTAAAGCTGATTTCAATACAACTTATACCCAACTGAAGCTGAGTCAGTAAGCTGTAAGGAATCTAGATTTATACTTGTCAAGTCAGCTAATGTGGAAAACACAGACTCAAGGAATATTACTTGGGATGTCATTGGATCAAAAGTATTTGAAAAAGATAATTATTGACTTCACAATGTGCTTTTCTAAAAGAATATCCAATATATGCTTATTTCAGCAAAGCAAGAAAAGGGAGGTCAGGCATAGAATGATAAGTGATAAGACTGATCTAAAGAAGTGGTATAAGTATAGAAAATTGTTGTTGTTCAGTCACTAAGTTGTGTCCAACTCTTTGCGACCCCATGGAATGCAGCATGCCAGGCCTCCCTGTCCCTTCACTATCTCCTGGAATTTGCTCAAAATCATGTCCATTGAGTTGATGATGTCATCCAGCCATCTCATACTCTGTCACCCCTTTCTCCTCCTGCCCTTAATCTTTCCCAGCATTGGAGTCTTTTCCAATGAGTAGAAAATAATAGACTCAACACCTGAGGTCTGTATCTCCCATCCAGGAGGCTGTAGATTCAGCCAGTTAATAGACTTAAGGAGCCTCTTTATACTTACTGTGTACACTTAAGTCATATTTTCTGTCAGTCATTCCTGCTATATTCATAGCAACACACACATAACGGCCTGTGTCAGACACATGAACATTCTTCAGCTGAACAACACGACCTTCATCCATTATTTCCATTCCCCTGCCTTTGGTCAAAGGGCGGCCATCTTTCATCCAGCTCACTGTTGGTTGAGGAATACCTTCCACCTCACACTCCAAGGAAATGCTCTTTCCTCGAGTTACAATGATTTCAGTAGGGTGGCTACCACTGTTGGATATAGTTGGTCGAACTGGGGAAGAAAAAAAAAAAGAAAAGAAATAGGAAATGTCTGCCTCAGATAAGGCAGAATACAGATGTATGTGCTGTGCTGTGCTCAGTCATGTCCGACTCTTTTTGACCTCATGGACTGTAGCCTGCCGGACACCTCTGTCCGTGGAATTTTCCAGGCAAGAATACTGGAGTGGGTTGCCATTTCCTTCTCCAGGGGATCTTCCCAATCTAGGGATCAAACCCACATCTCTTGTGTCTCCTGCATTGGCAGGCACATTCTTTATGCTGCACCACCTGGAAAGTCCAAGTCTTATGTAAGAATTTTCATCAGGTAAAGTTAAATTCATTTTTTATGTCAAAAAATTAACTACAAAGATAAAACCTAGGACTAGTAGACATGGCATTGCCATATTGGGAGGTGGAATTCTTCTCTAATGTTTCTAAATGGGTTCATACCTAAACTCAGTATAGTAAGGAAGAAAGCTCCATTAGCTACTTTTCCTGCTTTGGAGACATTAAACAAGTTTTTGAACTTATCATCATTTGTAGCTCCAACCTATATAAGTCTTTCTAGTACTAATTTTAAATAAATACGATAGTATACTTCATGACCCAATGTCCATTACCAATTCCTTTCTTTCACCCACTAGAGGAGTTGGAAAAACTGTTTCTCCGCCTTTAGAAATTGTGGTGACCAAACAAATCACTGTAGATCTAAAAAATATGAATGAAGGTCTGCTGGCAAGGGTAAAGTGAGGGGGCAGATTTGTGAAATTTTTTGCTCTCCTGCTAAAAGAGAAAGATAACATCCCTTCCCTTCTTTTTGCCTTCAATGTGGACTTGACACTACAAATACAGAAACCAGAATCTTGAGATCACAAAAGGAGGACCAGGCGGATCCTAGACCTCCCATCCTGTCCTGCTAAAAGTGAGATGCTAACCAACTCCAGTGACTGCCAACCTCAGCTTCTCATTATGTCAGAAAATAAATCTCTCTTTGTTTAAGCCACCGATGGCCAGTGGTTCTGTAACCTTACAGCTAAATTCACCTAATGGAACCTGATTCCAAGAAAGAAGATTAAACGAACTCAAAGACATATCTGTGTGGGAAAGAAAATGGACCCATGTTAGTATCCTGTGTTCAAGTGCCAATCCTGTCATACACAAGTCATATGACCTCAGCTGGACATGGAAACTTCTCTGGGCTTAAGTTTTTGCTGGTATAAAAGGGAGGCCATATTTTTGTCTCATATCATAGTTCATGTAGAGATTAAATGAGGTAATGTAAATATTTTAAATACTTTAAAATTTTACATAAATTAAACAATCTTTAAAATGGGATATTTGAAGGAGTCTGGGGGAGAACGGATACATGTATATGTAGGGCTGAGCCCCTTTCACTGTTTACCTGAAACTATCACAACATTGTTAATCAGCTATACCCCAATACAAAAGAAAAGTTTAAGGTAAACAAACAAACAAAAATGGATATTTTTACATACTGTAACTACACCCAATGATACAATGCCATTCTCCCCATTTCACGTCTACCACCCTGCCTCCAACAAATTATAGCGACATTGTGAGTCTGCCATCAGCGAGCTGATGCAGAATGGACAACTGTATAACTGAATAAGTACTAGCTAGAAATAAATAACTGCTTTCTTGTTATGTCAACACAATTTAAACTTGTGGGTCTTATGAAAGGTATAGCTGTCCCTGCGTATCCAGAGGTGACTAGTTTCAGGATCTGACTCAGGTACCAAAATCTGGGGATGCGCAAGTCCATTATATAGAAAATGGCACAGCATTTACATATAACCTATGAACATCCTCTGTTACACTTTAAATCATCATGAGATTATAATACCTTGTAATGATATGTAAATAGTTGTAAATACAATGTAAATGGTATGCGAATAGTTGCATGATGCCCAGAAAAATTCAAGTTTTGCTTTTTTTAAAAAACTTATTGGACATTGAAAAAAAAAACACTTTTGATATGCAGTTGGTTGAATCCATGGATGTGGAATTTATGGATAAGGAGGGTCAAGGAGGGCTGACTATATATTATAACTATACTACTTTGAATCTTAAAGATATGAAGAAAAACTAAAAGAGAAGGATGGAAAAGTTTTTGTTTTTTTTTTTAACTGCGTCAAAGCCTGGCTAATCAATAACTTACTGTAAACTTGCAGACTGTAGTCTTTCTTTGCAGTCCCAGCAACATTTGATGCCATACATGAATAGAGCCCTGCATCAGATTTTTCTGCAATTGAAATCTGCAACTGCCTGCCTCCAGATAAAATTCTGAGTCGCCCCGCAGAACCAGCCAGCACTGGGGAGCCTGCAAGTAAAACCGAGTTGCAGAATGGGAAACAAACATATAAGGCATTTGTGTATATGCTTCTAATGAATACACATACATATTTATTTACTTCCTGTTCACACACTTAAAAGGCAGAGGGTACTGTATAATAATCTATGCAAAAAGGAAGAAGAAGAAGAAGAAAGAAGAGGAGGAGGAGGAAGAGAAGGCTATCTTCGGCAAACTTTTCTCTCAATCAATATTGCATTTAAAGAAAACATATTTCATAAAATAAATTTTTAAAAAATCTCTAAGTAAAACACAAATTATTTCTTAAATCAGCTAGAAATTTAGAAGATCTGGTACTTAAAGGACACATATTTGTTGATGAGTAACTGAAAATCTGTTGAACTTCAGAATTCAATTTAACATACATTACAAAACTGTCACATATACCAAAAAATGCTTACTTTAGAAAATAATTTTTAAACTTATTTTAAAGAAGAAAAAAATAGTTAATTGAATGGTGGATTCATGATCAGTATAGCTGCCCTTTAAATTAATTTCTTCTTGGAAGTAGTCTCAAAGCTGAAGATTTTCACCTTGACAGTACAGAATTATCACATGTGACACATTTAGCATAAAGCAAGAATGAAGTCTAATATTTTAGTATGCAAACTTCAAGTGAGTTTATTAATAAATTGGCATGTTTGTCAAATAAAACATAAATTCATTTAATATTTATACTTAATTATATAAATGTCAAAAGATGAAAACTAACCTTTTTTCTTCCAAATGAGATTTGGGGGTGGAATACCACTTGATTCACACAATAGACTAATGAGGTGTCCTTCAATGACTGTAAGTTGAGCAACTTCATCAGAACCAGAAATATTTGGTGGTACTGAAAGATTTTTTTTAAAAAGGAAAAACACTATTTTAAGAACAATTATAAAATTTCCCTAATGCTTTGCATGTTAAAAGAAAAGGTTCCCACTCAAATGGAATGAAGAAATAATCTAGCACTTGAAGCTGACATATCAACATCACATTAAAAGCCAATTGTAAGATATAGAATGAGAATGTAATAGCAGATTTCCCATTTTCTCAGACAAATTTAATTATCAAAATACTCAGAACAACATAAAAAGATGATATAGTATAGTATGGATATTTAGACATGCTAACTTTGAAAAATGAAGACATCTATCAAGTTTAAACTTCACCCAGCCATTTGCACCTTGTGAGCCTTGATATCTCAGATGCTGGACAGAATCAAAAAGCATCAGGCATACAACATAAAGCAAAGAACAGAGGCAAGGCTTCCCAGGTGGCTCAGAGGTAAAAAATCTGCCTGCCAAGCAGGAGACATGGGTTCGATCCCTGGGTGGAGGAGATTCCCTGGAAAAGGAAATGGCAACCCAGTATTCTTGTCTGGGAAATCCTATGGACAGAGGAGGCTGGTGGGCTACAGTCCATAGGGTCACAAAAGAGTTGGTCATGGCTTAGCAACTAAACAATTAAAAACACAGGTGAGGAATCTGATCTAAGAAACAGATATGTTACCGATCCTGGATTGCACAGTCTGTCTCCCCACTGGCCTCCAACTTCTCCTTGGAACCTTCAAGGTGAATCGACTACCCAGACTTAGAGAATTCTCTAAGAGGCTGAGTCTGCATTTGCTGGCCAAATTCTCCCCTTGAACACTCTTCTGGCTGCAGTGTTATCACATGATAGATGCTTGTTCTCCTAAGCTCTTGGGAGTTGAGGAGTAGGAGAATCCTCCTCACCCACAAATGCAGCTTCCAGCCATTGTTCAACCACCTCCATGAAAATCTCTATTCCTTTGAGGCTCAATATCATCCATTTACTCCCCTTTCTCTTTCCTTTCACTCTCTGTGAACCTGTCATTCTTTTTCCTTTCACTGAACAATTTGGTACTTGTTTCCATCCCTTCTCTTCACACTGAAGACCTGCCATTGTTATATATAAACTCCACTGCCATGCCTAAACATCTGACTACTCAGTTCCCTCAGCTCGTTCATATCCTCATCCCTTTCTCCATCAGAAACCATACACTTCTCACCATCTAGAACATTTCTTCTGTTAATTTACAAATGTAGGCCACTTTCTATCCTTACAGCTCCTTCACTGAAGTATTCCCAACTCTCAACTCAATGACCTAATTGAATCTCAAGTCCTTAAACCTTTCAGAAGTCACTCAATCTGCTATCTACTTTTACTTACTTCACTATCCAGATTTGATTTTGTGTTCAATAATTTCAACTGGTCTTCTGCCAATATTCGCAACTACCCTACACCATTGCTTTTCCTATTCAGCAATACCATTTCTTGGGATAAATTCTATAGATTACTCTGACATAACCTATCCCACACATGAAATGTCTACAGAATAAAATGACAGCTATACAGACTGCCACCAACTATAAATCCATGACCTCCAAACCATACTGCACTCTACTCCCATGGCTTCCATTAATACAAATATCTGAAAACCTATATCTGTAATGCAGACAGTCCCTGAGATTTGGACTTTTATATCTGACTACATTTAATTATCAGTAGATCCTTGTTGGTTACCTATTTTAAACATAGCAGTATGTACATGTCAACCCCAAACTCCGAATCTACCCTTTGCGCCCCCACTTCCCCCTGGTAACCATAAATTCATTCTCTAAGTCTGTTTCTGTTTTGTAAATAAGTTCATTTGTATCATTTTTTAGATTCCACATGCAAACAATATCACATTATGCTTGTCTTTCTCTGTCTGACTTACTTTACTTAGTATGATAATCTCCAGGTCCATCCATGTTGCTGCAAATAGCATTACTTCATTCTTTTTAATGGCTGGGCAATATTCCATTGTATACACATACCACTTCTTCTTTATCCATTCATCTGTCAATGAACATTTAATTGCTTCCATGTCTTGGCTATTGTAAATAGTGCTGCTATGAACACTGGTATGTATGTATCCTTTCGAACCACATTTTTTTTCCAGTTATATGCCCAGGTGGAGGATTGCTGGATCAGATGGTAGCTCTATTTTTAGTTTTTAAGGAACCTCCATACTGTTTTCCATAGTGGCTGCACCAGTTTACATTCCCAGCAACAGTATAGGAGGGTTGCCTTTTCCTCACACCCTCTCCAGCATTTATTATTTGTAGATTTTTTTGATGGCCATTCTGACTGGTGTGAGGTGATATCTCATTGTAGTTTTAACCTGCATTTGTCTAATAATTAATGATGCTGATGATCTGTATATCTGTCTACTTAACATCTCAATGTGGGTGCCTTAGAGGGATTCTAGAACTCAACTTGCCCTAAACTGAACCTTTGTTCCCTCTCCAGGGGAGGATGCTGCTGTCCACACAGCCCAGCGGATCAGCCCAAACCAACATCCATCTTTTACCCTTTCCTGTTTCTATACCTCTCAATGTAATCAAATAATTCTATTAATTCAATTTCTTAAAAACTTAGAAAATTAATTTAATACTAAAAAACTAGAGTTTACTGGCTTTCTTCCTAAAATACAAATCTGAATGTCCCAGTCCTCCTTTGAATCCTGTTAGTGGTGCTGTATCACCTTTAGAACCAAATCCATACTTTTAAAATTGATTTTAGAAGTCCTCTTCTATATGCCCCTTTTACTCTTTCCTACCTAATTTTATATCTTATTCTCTTCTGAGCCACACCAGGCTCCACAGTGAATGATGGTCCATTCATTGAATATAGACAATGTTCTCCAGGTCTTTATACTTCCATCTTCAGAGAGGTAACACCTACTCATCCTTAAAACCTCAGTTAGATGTCACCAGCCCCTTGCTATGTCTTCCCACAAAATCTCCTGTGATAACTCTTAGGAGGCAATTTTAAGGTATTTCTACACCAGCAGGCTCTAAGTTCTGTGTGACTAGTGTCATTGTCCTTCTTATGAACCTACCTATGCTTACACACGGCATAGTGCCTAGAACACAGAGTCACACCATAAATAATTTTTGAGTGAATCCAGTCTTTAAGCCTCAACTTTCCTTTATCATTCATTCTTACATCTACTGCTTTCCTCTTTAAGAGGCACAAGTTTACTCATCTGTTAAGTACACTTTACAGTTTATGTCTCATTTGACTTCTCTGCAATGTGTGTGCCATTATGCATTCATTCACCCATTCATATATCCATGTCCAACCTATTTCCTATTTGCATTCTTCTTCTGGGAACACCACTGTCCTGAGTTTCCACAAGAGAAGCTTTACCCAGTTTTCCTCCCACCTTTTTGACAAATGTTTCAACTCAGTTTCCCATCTGGAATTTATTTTTCTGTCTTCCTTCTTACATGGTATGTGAGAGTCAATCTACACAGTACTCTTCTATACATATTCTTTTTACTCTCTCTAAGCAATCAGCCATGAAATTAAAAGATGCTTGCACCTTAGAAGAAAAGCTATGACCAACCTAGACAGCATATTAAAAAGCAGAGACGTTACTTTGACGACAAAGGTCCATCTAGTCAAAGCTATGGTTTCTCCAGTAGTCACATATGGACGTGAGAGTTGGACCATAAAGAAAGCTGAGAGCTGAAGAATGGATGCTTTCGAACAGTGGTGTTGGAGAAGACTCTTGAGAGTCCCTTGGACTGCAAGGAGATCAAACCAGTCAATCCTAAAGGAAATCAGTCCTGAATATTCATGGGAAGGACTGATGCTGAAGCTGAAGCTCCAATACTTCGGCCACCTGATGTGAAGAAGTGACTCATTGGAAAAGACCCTGATGCTAGGAAAGAATGAAGGCAGGAGGAGAAGGGGATGACAGAGGATGAGATGGTTGGATGGCATCACCGACTCAATGGACATGAGTTTGAGTAAACTCCGGGAGTTGGTGATGGACAGGGAGGCCTGGCGTGCTGCAGTCCATGGGGTCGCCAAGAGTCGGACACGACTGAGTGACTGAACTGAACTGACTGATAAATCAACAGTATTTCAATGAAGTAAACTTTAAAAATATAAAGAACTAAAAATAAAATTATATTTTGTTGTACAATTTTTAAAAAGTGAATTCTTCACCTCACTTTCTAATTGATTATCACTCCGAATTTTTCTTTTTCACTTCTTTTTTCAACCTTTACTTGGTAACACTTAGCAGTGTCTTGTCCATGTTGGGAAGTATATGAATATTTTTCCCACTTGAGAGAAATAAGAGAAGGGAAGTAAAGGAAACACAGAGGGAGAAAAAGGATGGAAGGAAGTAGGAAGAAAAGTCAGTAATATGTAACTTGTTGTTTAGTCACTAAGTTGTCTTTTTGCAGGCCCAGGGATTGCAGTCCGCCAGGCTCCTCTGTCTATGGAATTTCCCAGGCAAGAATACTGGAGTGGGTTGCCATTTCCCTCCCAGAGGATCTTCCCAACATTGGGATTGATCCCGTGTCTCCTGTTTGGCAGGTGGATTATTTACCACTGAGCCACCTGGGAAGCCCAATATGTAACTAATATGTAATAAATATAAATTTACTACATAGTAAATTTTAGTATTTAAAAGTAAATAAATTCTTTTATAGGATAAATAACACTTCTCATAATTTTCAAGATTTTTAAAATGATAACAGTTTATAATTAACAAGCTATTCTCTAAGTAAATGCATACTTTTAAACAATAGTTGTTCTCCATTGCAATCAGATTACTTCCTCTACTTATTTTTATTTTAAAATGTTTTTAATTAACTTTTATAATTAAAGTTATATTTCATGTCATTATCATAATAATTAAAATGTTTAAACAAATATAATCAAAATTAATAGTGCTTAATATGTTATAAATGAATGTAAACAAGTACTTAAAAGTTGATTATTTGGGAAACAGGAACACTTTTTAACAACTGGCAGACAACCACAGATAACATAAAAGTTGCAATTATTCCTAAAAACTATCTTAGTAACAAACAAATTATCTTAGTAACTTATTAAAACTTCAAGTGAGTATAGCATTTCACATTCCTCAGCAGAGTAACCTCATCATCTCCCACTCCAATTACAATTGCTCTTTGTCTTTCTCACACACTAAATTCACATACATAATTTGATCTTCTGACATTTTCAATTAACCAACATGCTCTCTGCTCATGGAGAATGCTCAATCATTAGCAGATCTTGGCTATAGAAGCTAGAGGGCATGTTAATCAGCCAGGAGAGGAGAACATCACAGTTACAGTGATCTATATATTTAGGTTCAGGATATCTATTTAGTTGCCCTTGAATTAAGTATATAAGCTGATATTCAGGACAGCTTGGCATCATTTAAACATATTAATTAATATCCATCTATGTATTAATTATGTGGTTGTCAGTTTAAGAACTGATAGAAACAATGAAAGGTCAAACCACAAGCTGAATCATTTAAGGGTTGATCTCACTTACCCCAGATGTTGACATTATAGTTTTTCTCAGTTTTTCCTGCAAGATTTGTGGCTTCACAAGTGTAGCGACCACCATCTTGAACCTGAGCATCTTCAATCTGAAACCAAAATCATGCTTTGAAACCACAGTTTATATTTTGTAATTAATTGGGGGGTTTATATTAATGTTGCTGTGATCTCTGATTTTTCATTTGTTCTGAAGGTTTTCAAACATATAAAAAGTAGAGAAAATAGTATTGGGTTAGCCAAAAAGTCTGGTCTGTTTTTCATTTAAGATGTTATAAAAAACTCAAATGAATTTTTTGGCCAACCCAATAAAATTGATGGCTATATGCCCAATACCCACGTTCAATACTTATCAAGATTCAACAATTATCACTTACCTTGTCATACCTTGTTTTAATCTCGTTAACTTTAGTGGCTGAAGGTCTAGAAAGGTCTTTTAAATATGATTAAGATAAAATAGCACCAAAAAACCCCCCCACAATTAACCTTTGAATGAATATACAATTTTTTATGCCTAGGACATCTTCAGTGAAATAACACCCTTACTCTTAGTTTATTGCTTTCTTCTATATCACATTTAAAAACTCCTTCAAGTCAACCATTATACTCAATTAGTCTTACTCTCCTAGTAGCCAGTTTGGTGCTTGGTAGATAATTGAATATCAGTAAATATTTTCCATATATTTATCTACAACATACATGAATACTTATCCATCATTTATTCTGAGACCTTTCAGCAGTTATTAAGAATCTTGTACTAGGTACTACAGGTAGAAGATACTAAGAAATATAGTGTAATAATATGGTTTCTGTCTTGAGTTTGCAATCTAGCTGATAATATAAAGCATGTGAACATAAAAGAGTTTAATAATAAACAAGGTGTAAATAACAATAAAAGATACTATAAGAGGTATAACAAATAATACATAATTGATGGCTAACTTTGAAATCAATTGCTAGAATAGTCAAAAGAGGGCGAATCATTGGAGTTGCAGTTATCACCGAAAGTATTCAGTCTTCACTAGTTCTCATCTCCATGACGTCTTCTCCCTACATCCCTTCCTCTGGACCCATGCATTCCAGGGCGCCTGGATGGCCTTGGTGGTAGAGATTCAGGGGATCCCAGGATTTCTTCATTCCCTCTCGCCTGGCTTCCCAACTCCACTGGGATCTATGCTCTGAAGAAATGAACTCCTCTACTCACTGAAATTTCGAAGGCAGTTCTAATCATGTACCGCTCTCCCTGAGCAGTGCTGGGACTTGTGTTAATATAATCATCTCCCTCTATCATTCAGTGATATCATTCATTGATATCCTTCTATCAAACCTCAGTCAGAGCTGAGGTTTGAGAATTCTAGCTGCTTTCTAGACCTCTGGGCTCTGCTGCTGAGAAGGGCAGCACTTCTTGCCTTTCCCCGCTCTATAACTAAACTGACGCATCTTGCTTCCTCTATCAGTGACCCTGACCTTTTCCAGCCTTACCAGCTCCATCACTACACGATTGTAATTTTGAAAGACTCCATTCTCTTGCCTCTGATAACACACATTCACGCTCCCTCCCACTCTCTCCGTTATACTTCTACTTGTGGAAGTTTCTTAGCTTCCCTTCATGCTGACAATTTTCATTCACTTCTCAAGGCTCTCTTTGTTTAACAGTGATAATTTTCTTTTACCAAGAAGCCATGTGGCATAGTGGTTAGCAGCATGGATTCTGAAGTTATACTTCTATGTGTTCTAATCCCATTTCTGCCACTTCTGCCACTTAGTAACTGTGGGCAGATTACTTAGCCATTCTCTCAATTCTACATAGGGTTATTATGAGAATTTTATAAACATTCCAGTGGCCTGTTAGCTTCCTGAATCCTAATTCCTTAGGCTGACTTTCCACGTTAGTTCTTATTTCACTCAAATGAGCCCTGTCAACATTATTTCCAAAATTCACTTTTTTAAATTGTTTCAGTATCATGAGTTTACTTGCTGTTCATAGCAGGTCTTTTGTCCCATCTACCCATAAAAAGCCAAATAGCCATCCAAGACTACTCTAGGCAACCATAACCTTACTTTTTGCTATTTTTCCCAAATGTACTGTCTGTATCATCCACTGGGTAAGTAACTTAGAGCCTTATAGCACTTAGCTGCATTTTTCAATTAAGCTGCTAGATTTTCATATATTATATAATTTTGGAAATAATTTTATATGTATGTATATAGAATATATATATTTATGTAGAATTTGAAAATTTTGCATAAATGTGTCATTCTTTTTTGCATCCCTATGCAGAGCACCTAGAATGGGTATTCACTGATTGCTTGGATGACTGAAACAATGCACACCTTAGAATGTTTCTATCATATTTTTCTAGAAGCATTTTTTGAATGGCTTTTGCCTTCAAATATGAATTTACATTTAAATATTTAAATCTTACTAGGTATAAATTAGAAAAAATATCACAAAACTCAGAAGGGTTCCTAGAATTTTAGAGGATAAATTTAGTAGGATACTTGTAAAGTTTAATAGTGTACTATTTTTATAGGGGTAACACTAAAGCCATGATCTTAGAAATAAGAAGTAAATGAATCTGTAGCCTTACCTTTAGCACACTCCCATTTTCAGTAACACTGAGACCTGGTTTCTTCAGCAAGGGGCGGCCATCTTTTAACCAGGTCAGAGTCGGTGGGGGAATAGCATCACTTTGACATAGTAACTCCACAGCTTGGCTAATGAGGACAGAGACGTTCTGTTCTTCTCCCATAATATTTGGTGCAACTAAGTGAAAGATGGGTTTTCCCTCAGGATAAAAGAGGCCAGCACACTGCTTATCTTTATTAATCATCAGGACATATACTGTATAACTTTATTAGTCCTTTTAAGATGTAGGATCACAGTAATTCTAGCATACCCTCTTTGCATCACTTGGTTCAGAATCAAGTGTTCATAAATCACTGATTAATGTGTTCCTGTTGAATAAAAATAGTTTTTCACTAACTTTTTGTGCAAAAAAGTTTTAGAACTGGAAGTTCTTACCAAGTGCCCATTCAAGAAACTTCTTGAACTCTAAGTCACCCTTTAAGATTTTCAAAGTATTAAATCACTCATGAAATATTTTGGAAATAACAATGAATTAAAAGCAAATACATTTTTGATGCTTATTTTTTTGCAAAATAAAATAAATTGCATACACATAGAGGCAAAATAAAAATAGAGTTGAAAGGAATCATCCTGTCCCACCTCTCAGCATGCAAAATATAAGATGGGTGACAGATAAGACTTTATGTGAAATAACTGATGGAATAAAGACCATGTGGGATAACTAAATCAGTGACCAGCTGTATAACACACAGCTACATAAAAAGAAGAAATGAGCTGAAATTTTAATGAGATTAAAATGAGAATTCCCTGGCTATAAGGCTTGTCAGATGCTGAAATATGTTCTTGGAGGAGTTTAAGGAATCGCCTTCCCTTGGGTATATTAAAAAATAGAGTAAACAATCATTTGTCTTAGATGGTCTAGGTACAGCCCTGCCAAGAATGAGAGGGTGGGCTTCATAAGTTCTCAAGGACTCCTCCAGGCCTGTATTTGTAATAATTCAAAAACATGAACTAATAATGAGATCAGGCCTGTTATTAAAGGGCGACTCCAAAAAAGCACAAAGGGGAATTTCCCCAGCCATTTCTCACTAAATTCTATAACTATTTAGGATTGTAAGAAACACCATATTTGTAGTTTTTTGTTTTTGTTTTTACAAGAAAGGCAAAGTTTCACTGAATGAATCCTAAGGGATTTTTCCAAAAGCATTGGGAGAAATAAGGTGCTCGTGGTAAAGAACATTTTAACAACCCATTAGCCATTGCTTCTGGCTTGACACTACTGCATGTGGCAAAATGACAATGGACTTTAGCTAGCAACATGTTTTTTCTGTGAATTTTAGCTAGTAACATGTTTTTCTGTAACCAGGAGATTTCTCTGATACACAGGAAAAGGCATACAAGCTACAGGGTACGTTCTTATGCTGTTTCTGGATGCAGGACTTGTGCTAAACCCGAAGGAATTGATGCTAACAAAAGAAATTTCACACTTAATGGTTGGAACAGACCAGTGGAGCATTTGGGCAGAGATCTGTGATGTCCATTCTGCTAAATTTAATAGCACACACAGATACTGGCTCTCCATCAGCTTAAATTTATCTACGGTGACAGAAAAGAGTGGGATTATTTTTCACATGTGAGACAATAGAAAAAGATATGCAACTATTCTGAGATGAAAACTTCTATAATCTCAGCAAAATGAGCACAATTAGTGCCATCTTAGTCTATTATGAAAAAGAAAAAGATATCTTTACCAATCTTTGCATAAAGAGTCCTAAATAGAACAGCATATGTCACAGCTTGGAAATAATTTCAGGTCAAGTCTGGTCTCTGGATAAAAATGTATCATGACTATGAGAATGAAAGCCGCTCAGTCGTGTCCGACTCTTTGCGACCCCATGGAATTCTCCAGGCCAGAATACTGGAGTCATTACAGTACATGGAATTCTCGAGGCCAGAACACTGTAGTGGGTAGCCTTTTCCTTCTCCAGGGGATCTTACCAAGCCAGAGATTGAACCCAGGTCTCCCACATTGCAGGTGGATTCTTTACCAGCTGAGCCACAAGGGAAGCCCCATAACTATGTAAAACATGTTTATCTTAGATTACTTAGACTTTCTAAAAGAACATGGATTCTTTAGGACTGCTTGTAGTCATAAATGTCAGAAATAATTCGAGAGAGCAGAATGCTAATTTCCAAATAGTTTTCCTTTAATTACTTTTCTTACAGCTACATAAGTTGAGTCAAGCTCCAAAGGAAACCAAGTTTTTCACATTGAGAGGAAAAATATAAAAACAAAAGAGCATTTGTTTCTTAACATAAATTAAAGCAAATCTAATTATAGTTGAGGATATATATTACCAAAGCCCATCTATTTTTTTCTGCCCTGTCTTTCATTTCCAACTTTTTGTTTAGTCTGAAAAGAGAAAAATCTTCCACCCTTTAGATCCCTGGGTTTCTTAGATGATATCCCTATTCTGCTTTGCAGCCATGTTGCTTAGGAAGGGGTATATTGGGCCTGTTTCTCATCCTGTGCATTATACCTGTGACACATAAGTAACCAAGTCAGAACTGCCATGGGGTTATGCTTGTGGAGATGCTGGGGAATGTGTGATCGCTAAGAAAGCTCTCTGAGTTTCAGTTTAAAGAAAAGATACTGCAGGAATCTAAATCATTTAAAAACTCAATTCTCTTGTCTCAGCACTTCAGAATACGGTAAAGCATCCTCCAAATTTATACCAAGGAGAAACAGTTTAATGAACTATTCTTGTCACTGTAGGGATAGCTATTTTATCCCGTATGTGCTCCTCTACACCCCTACACTCTGTAATGTGAATCTGAACTTGTCTTTGGCCATGAGCAACAAACCAACCCAAGACTGCCAAGGTTAACACCACAAACTTAGGAACATAATGCAGGGGCATAATATAAACAGTAGAGGATAGATTAGAGGCTAATTTCAAATTAAAGTGGTTTGATTTGACACTTTAACATTTGAAATATATAAGCATAGCAAGCTACTAAACACACACACATTTTCAAACACACGTACATGTTAGCTAGCCTCTTGACTTTTACTACGGAGGGAAGATTCTGGTTTTTGGACTAAAAGACTTATATGAGAGTATCTTAACAAAATCTTAAAGAATAGTCATGCACATCTTCATAACTCCTGGAAAATATCAACTCTCTATCACCTCTCAGGTCTACTTTTGACATTATTCAGTGCAGAAATGGAAAAAGCCAAGGTCAGATTTTCAGAGCTGACGAAAACCCAGTGAATACCAATGGCAATCCTGGGCTTGGCTTGCTCATGACTGAAGGAGCTACTGTGTCACAAACTTAAACTGAACAATCATCCTCTAAAAACAGTTTAGACTGGAAACATTCCAATTCTTCATAAAGCATAAAGTGATCCATTAAGGGAAGGAGTTAGATTCCTTGTGATTGGGCATTTTAGACTCTGTTTTCTCAGACACAGAGCACCAACAAGCCTGGAGTAGGGATACCCACACATGTCAACTGCAAAAGCAACAAAAATGGGGGATGCATACAAGTTTTGGATAGTTTACTGATGCCAACTGGGTTTTTTTAGCTAAATTAGATATCTATGGTATCTATGCTGTCACGAGGGGCCTTTTAATTAAAAAATTAAGACTTATTAAGTCAAAGTTATTTGTGATGACTATATTTGTTTTTGGCGAATTCAAAAAGGCACATCAATTCACATGGCTTGGAGGTTAAAAAAATAATACATTTTTTAATATATATTTTTAAAAGGAGTGAATTCTTTGGAACTGAGGTAGGACCTAGAAGAAAAGGCCTGCATTAAAACAGATACTCTTTGAGGGCCACAGAAGAAACAAATCCATTATTCTAGGAAGCAAACGTATAATGCAAATGAGACACTAAAAAGAAACAAACCTGAAAAAGTCCTAAATGCAAAGGTATACTAAAATGTAAAATGACAAGTGTAATCTATGAATGGAGGCCAATGAGACCGCAATTTCATCCTGGGGGCTTTTTGGTGTGACGGAATCAGACCTTTCCTTTGTTATATTACAGCTGCATCACAGGTAGGAAAAAACTTGAATTTTGTTTATTTATACTAATTTATACCTAATTTATACTCAACTTTTGTTCCTAAATAATCCTTTAATTCACATAGTATTAACTATAAATATTATTGTACATATAACAAAAGGTAAGAAAGTCTAGGCTTCAAATAGAACTGATCAAGAGAGCTACTTGAAGAGGAGCTTGCTTTAGTGAGAAGATCATATCTTCGTATGCATTTTCATTCTCAGAAGTTCAAAAAGGGAAAATCAGTTAAAGTCAAATATGAGGCAGAAAGGGTGAAACTGATTCTGTTAATCTTATAACTTCATTTCTATTGTTCATAGCTCTCCGTTGTCAAAAACTCTCAACTGTGTCAATGATCTTAGGACTTAAACACAGCTATTGTGGAGAAGAAATAATTATTAAAATGTCTCACCATATACTCTGAGGTCAATATCCCTTTGTTTCTCCCCAGCAGCATTTACTGCAACGCAGGTGTATCTCCCGGTATCACTGATCTGTGCACTGGTCAATGCTAGGATGCGACCCCCAGACAGAACCTATCAAAGAACAGAACACTAAATAACCAACGTGTCTCCTAAGAAGGGTAGGCATAAACATACTTTTTCAATTATTTTCTGAGATTAATAAATTTTCACAGATCTAGAACAAATAATTTCACAATGTGTATGGAAATACAAAAAACCTCGAATAGCCAAAGCAATGTTGAGAAAGAAGAAGGGAACTGAAGGAATCAACCTGCCTGACTTCAGACTATACTACAAAGCCACAGTCATCAAGACAGTATGGTACTGGCACAAAGACAGAAATATAGATCAATGGAACAGAATAGAAAGCCCAGAGATAAATCCACAAACCTATGGACACCTTATCTTCGACAAAGGAGGCAAGGATATACAATGGAAAAAAGACAACCTCTTTAACAAGTGGTGCTGGGAAAACTGGTCAACCACTTGAAAAAGAATGAAACTAGAACACTTTCTAACACCATACACAAAAATAAACTCAAAATGGATTAAAGATCTAAATGTAAGACCAGAAACTATAAAACTCCTAGAGGAGAACATAGGCAAAACACTCTCTGACATAAATCACAGCAGGATCCTCTATGACTCACCTCCCAGAATATTGGAAATAAAAGCAAAAATAAACAAATGGGACCTAATGAAACTTAAAAGCTTTTGCACAACAAAGGAAACTATAAGCAAGGTGAAAAGACAGCCCTCAGACTGGGAGAAAATAATAGAAAATGAAACAACAGACAAAGGATTAATCTCAAAAATATATAAGCAACTCCTGCAGCTCAATTCTAGAAAAATAAATGACCCAATCTAAAAATGGGCCAAAGAACTAAACAGACATTTCTCAAAAGAAGACATACAGATGGCTAACAAACACATGAAAAGATGCTCAACATCACTCATTATCAGAGAAATGCAAATCAAAACCACAATGAGGTACCATTACACGCCAGTCAGGATGGCTGCTATCCAAAAGTCTACAAGCAATAAATGCTGGAGAGGGTGTGGAGAAAAGGGAACCCTCTTACACTGTTGGTGGGAATGCAAACTAGTACAGCCACTATGGAGAACAGTGTGGAGATTCCTTAAAAAACTGGAAATAGAACTGCCGTATGACCCAGCAATCCCACTTCTGGGCATACACACTGAGGAAACCAGATCTGAAAGAGACACGTGCACCCCAATGTTCATCACAGCACTGTTTATAATAGCAAGGACGTGGAAGCAACCTAGATGCCCATCAGCAGATGAATGGATAAGGAAGCTGTGGTACATATAAACCATGGAATATTACTCAGCCATTAAAAAGAATTCATTTGAATCAGTTCTAATGAGATGGACGAAACTGGAGCCCATTATACAGAGTGAAGTAAGCCAGAAAGATAAAGACCATTACAGCATACTAACGCATATATATGGGATTTAGAAAGATGGTAACGATAACCCTATATGCAAAACAGAAAAAGAGACACAGATGTACAGAACAGACTTTTGGACTCTGTGGGAGAAGGTGAGGGTGGGATGTTTCGAGAGAACAGCATTGAAACATGTATATTATCTAGGGTGAAACAGATCACCAGCCCAGGCTGGATGCATGAGACAAGTGCTTGGGCCTGGTGCACTGGGAAGACCCAGAGGGATCAGGTGGAGAGGGAGGTGGGAGGGGGTATCGGGATGGGGAATACATGTAAATCCATGGCTGATTCATGTCAATGTATGACAAAAACCACTACAATATTATAAAGTAATTAGCCTTCAACTAATAAAAATAAATGGAAAAAAATAAATAAATAAATAAATAAAAATAAATCGAACATTTGCCTCTAGAAGTATTTCTACCTGGATATTTTAAAGGGGGCAAGCATCATTTAATCTCCTCATTTTCTCCATGGAGGAAGACAGAGAATAGAACCCACTCTGGCAATAATCACTGAAAACAACTCTCCACATACAGGATCAAGTGAAGATCCAACTTTATCTATAATTACTACAGAAAGAGAGAAAGCCACCTTTATCCTCCTCCTAATTATTCCTTGGGAGAACAATTAAGAAGTTTAATATCATTATAGCAGTCAAATTAATTAGTCAAACTCATAGCCCTTTTATTCCATTGACATAGCTGTACCTCAAAAATACTGACATTGACTCTAGATAGTCTATGATCCCAAATTCTGCAAGCGAAGGATTTTCAAGAAATAGAATGGTGGAATAACTATGCCTTCTTCAAGGCAAAACAAGATTAAGGTACACTTTAAATGGGATATATGTCTTTGTATTTCAAATTTTGAGTCGGTTCAAAGTACTTAAATTTTGTTCTCAGACTCAAATTTCATTTCTCATGATGTTATCTTTTTTCATTTTTCTTGATATGATGTTTTAGTAGAAGTGACTATACTCTAGATGGTTCTCTGATTCATTATTATTTTCAGAAATTTAAATATATCTACCAGGAAATTCCTGCTTCTGTCATTGATGAACATTTCTTTGTGTAGGGTATCTCTTATGGTGATACCAGAGAGTGGGAATAGGGAAGCAGAAATACCTAAAACAATAGTCAAAATACAGAACTATATATGAGACAAGGGAACTCTTAGATATCCTGAGCTTTTAATGAACTGTCTAGAAATCCCAGTTGTATGTCCATATTTATAGATGTATATATGTACATTTTTGGATAACACTTGTGAATCCTTGTTCTGCAAGTTCCTAAAGGAACAGTTTTATTTGTTCAGACTTTGTGGACTGAATAATGAGATGGTAGATTTGCCTTAAGAAATGACACAGAGTACCTGTATCCCATTAACAAAACTAGTGACAGGGCTCCCATCTTTCAGCCAGGTCAGACTTGGGGCCGGGATACCTCTGGCTTCACACTCTAACCTCACCAGGTTATTAACCACCACTGCCACCATGTTGTTGCTGCCAAAAATTGATGGGGGCACTGAAAAGGAACAAAAAAGTAAATAAAAATAAGGCATGTTAACATCACAGAATATTTTATCTCAGAATAATAACAACTATGTGTTCTGTCCATAGTAATATGTTTCACATTTTTATTTCTTGATTTCCAGGTTTGTGTGTGTATGTGTTTCCCTTTACTGTATCCACTCTAGTATGTTAACTATGAATTCCTCTTAAAAGCATTATTAGAGAAAACAACTTGAAAACATTTCTTGAACCTATGATTCTGATAGACTATATTGACAAACAGGGCTACTGTCATTAGCTGATAAGATAGTTGATGACCATTCTGAACAATTCATCTAAAGCAAAATTAAGTTCAATAGCATGTGAAAATAGAGTATTTAATAGGAATCAAAAAATGTAAACACTTATCAGTATTAGAACACTGCATCCTTAAATAAAGATGACAATAACACATTCTGTTAAATATCAACACTAGAATTTTATAGAGGCACTTGATCGTTTTTTTTTTTTTTTTTCCACTTGATCATTTTGAATGCTTCTTTACCCTGGATCAATCTAGTAGTGGCACTAACCATGGACCTGCAGACTGTAAAATAACTCAGTTGCTCCAGCTGAGTTGATGGCCACACATTTATATATGCCAGCATCTGTGATCTGGGCACTTTCGATATTGATGATCTGTCCTCTGTTCAAGAAAGTCACACTACTGGAATCTGACAGTGGACGATTATCTTTGTACCATGTAATAGCTGCAAGGAGAATAGAAGTCCATCTATTTAAATGTTTCTTTTAAAAATTATCCTTCAATAAAAAATTAATTAAAAATTCAATATACACACTGAATTAGAGGTTAACTACAATAGTAACAACTGCTTTATTCTTATGCTTATCACTCTAATCTGTTTAAATATTTCTTTAAGGTTGATTTTTAGGAGGAAGGAGGTAAACATTAGAAAAATATGAATAGTCAGGCCAATATAACTGTCTTGAAGTGAATTTGTAAAAATGATATTCTTTACATTTTCTCTAATGTAACAATATTTGTTTGAGAGCAAACTTTTAATCAATTTTATTTCTTCTCGTAGAAATATGCCTCTCATCCATAAAAATTTTGTTTAGGCTTCTAATCAAAACCTAACACAGTATACACTATTAGCCTCAAAAAATTTATATTATTATCGATTCATATGAATAACTTGCCAGTGACGAGAATCAATACAATAATAGTCTCATCAAATGAATGGTTCATAATCAACTTAGACTAGACTAAAAGTATATTTTCAGCATAAATGTATGTATATACGATGACATTGTGGGTTTTGTGGCCACAGTAAGGATAGTAAGGCAATGATTCACATATCTGAACATTGTTTAAATGGGTAAGTTATTTCATGGAGCTAAAAGCAATGAAAATTCAAAAATATCATCCACCAAATGATATCCTTATCAGTGTTTTACATTTGAAATGTATTCTATAATATTTTCTTCATTAGCAATTACTATAGTATCCTTATAAACAGATTTAGCAATTCACAGAAATCTTAAAATGCTGGTAAGTTACACAGTCCGCAAACAAACATACCAGGTGAGGGATTTCCAGCTGCCTTACACTCCAGCTGTACGGGGCTGTTCACCACCACGGTCTCATTCAGCATCTTCCCGGCATCCTCCAGGCTGGGTGGTTCTGCAAGAAGCCCAAAGAGGCTAACTAGCACACATAAATAGGGTATTAAACTGAAATGGTTTCCTCATTGGGACTTGTCATTTCTTTCTTTTTTCTTCCTTTCTTTCACTTATATACAATGATATATTTGGAATAAAACTAAGGTACACTATTAAGTGGGGCTTCCCTGGTGGCTCAGATGGTCAAGAATCTGCCTGCAAGCGGGAGACCTGGGTTCAATCCCTGGGTTGGGAAGATCCCCTGGAGGAGGGCATGGCAACCCACTCCAGTAGTCTTGCCTGGAGCATCCCCATGGGCAGAGGGATACTATTAAATAGTATTGAAGAACAGGATGTAAAAGATCTTAAAAGGTTTTCTGGATCATCCATTACTCTATGCCCATAAAGGAAAAGCCTTGGATACATACATTAGCAGAGTAGTAAAAGAAAGTTAAGGGAGTATTTTTAATTTCAATTAATCTGATTAGTCTGATGATAAACTGTCTTTCAGTTCAGTTCAGCCGCTCAGTCGTGTCCGACTCTTTGTGACCCCATGAATCGCAGCACGCCAGGCCTCCCTGTCCATCACCAACTCCTGGAGTTCACTCAAACTCATGCCCATCGAGTCGGTGATGCCATCCAGCCTTCTCATCCTCTGTTGTCCCCTCGTCCTCCTGCCCCCAATCCCTCCCAGCATCAGGGTCTTTTCCAATGAGTCAACTCTTCGCATCAGGTGGCCAAAGTATTGGAGTTTCAGCTTCAGCATCAGTCTTTCCAATGAACACCCAGGACTAATCTTCAGGATGGACTGGTTACCAAGAAGTAATCTAATGTATTTGAACTCTTCAGTGAAGAACATCAGTACTTCTCAAAATATCTGACTTAACCTTGTGCTTAGTCACTCAGTCATGTTCAACTGTTTGCGACCCTATGGACTGTACCCCACAAGGTTCCTTGGTCCATGGGGATTCTCCAGGCAAGAATACTGGAGTTGGTTGCCATGCCCTTCTCCAGGGGATCTTCCCAACCCAGGGATCGAACCCAAGTATCGCGTGTTGCAGGTGGATTCTTTACCCTCTGAGTCGCCAGGAAAGCCTGACTTTACCTTAGAACAGTACTATCTTAAATCATTTCAGAGAAATTAGAATCATTTTTATTTATTAGTCTTTTTTGATAGAAAAGTTACAATTGTTAATAAAACACAAAACTACATTTTCAACTTTAAATAATCACAGATAATACTGCTTTAGTTTTAAAGTTGGGCATCCCTGGTGGCTCAGAGGTAAAAAATCCACCTGCGATGCAAAAGACATCGGTTAGATCCCTGGGTTGGGAAGACCCCCTGAAGAAATGGCAACCCACTCCAGTACTCTTGCCTGAGAAATTCCATGGACAGAGGAGCCGGCAGGCTACAGTCCATGGGGTCGCAAGAATTGGACATGACCTAGTGACTAAACCATGTATTTATAAAGTAAAGTTTAAGAGGCACAGTGTAAAAGTAATGACAACTTGGAATAGCAAAGCCCTACATCTCCTATCTTAAGGAATGCAGGAGGGATGTGAGGAAAAACAAAACTGCAAGTAAACTAGAGTTTTTCTCTTATTTGGAAAAGATGCTATGTATATGTTAACTTTGGGGTTTATATAAAAAACATTTTAAAGATTTGATAAATTTAACTTATTCAATGCACTAGAGCCCCTCACCTCCACCCCATATACAGTTAAATAACTGATCCATTAACCTAGCAAAAACAGAAAGGGAAAAGGAGACAAGGGAATAAGAAAAATGATTAGAACTAAACAAGATGGTAGAGATAAAATCAAATATGTAAATAAAGAGCATAAATGTGAATGAGTTAATTTTCTTGGTCAATACAGAAAGAGTTAAGACTATCTGAGGGTTAACAGTTTTTGTTTTTAATTAAAAAGTACAAGCAAAAAAAAAAGTACAAGCAAAACAACTGTAACAATGTTGACAGTAAAGAGTTGGACAGAGATATAACAACAATAAGGGAGATATCAATTTCTGACAAACAGGTATACAAGGCAAAAATAATGCTTTCTACTGACTGAACTGTTGTAATTCAGAAAGAATCCACTATAATGATAATGCTTTATGCATTGAATAAAAAAGTAAAATTGTAAATAAAAAAGGATAGAAAATTTGAAAAATCTAAAAGTAGTATATTTCAGTATTTCTTAGAAATTAATTACATAGTGAAACAAAAAATAAAGTTATAAAGAATTTGAAAGCTAAAATTACCCAAACATACATATGTTTATATACACACATGTTATTTGTGTATTTATTGTTAACAAAAATACATATTATTTTCAAATGCCAACAGAATATTTTCAAAACAGACTATATGTTAGGTCACAAAAAATCTCAATAAGATATTTATACCACAATTTAAAAAATCATAGTAAGAAAATCACAGAACTCAGTAGTAAAATACAAAGTTCTCTACATGGGGAAAAACCTTATTAAAGAGGAAATCAAGATAAATGTATACGGGTAGAAAAATTTAATTAGAATGAGACTGATTAAAAACTAAAATCTGTGGCCCATCAATAAGCAGTACATTACCCAAAGGCAATCTTAAAGTTCTAATCAACATATTAAAAACTAAGAAATGCTAAAAATAAATGTTCTAAGTATTCAACTCAGATTCTAGAAAAAGACCAACAAAATAAACCTTAAAAAGTCAGGAATAAAGAAATAATAGAAGACTACACCAAAGCAAACAAACAAGCAAAAGGAATAACAAACAATATAATTCAAAGCTGGTTTTTGACAAGTTTAAAATAAAGTCTGTCCTCAAAAGTTGATGACCTTATAGATCAGATTTCTATTTTTTTGGAAGTTGTTCCTGAAGACCAACTTTAGAGGCCACTTGGCCCTCAAACCTGTTGTTTATTTGTATTCATCTAACTCAATGTATTAACCCTTCTTGTTTGAAATGCTTAGATTGTTCCTGTTTTCTCCTGCATTCTGACTTATGATATGGGATTTCAGCAAAAAAAAAAAAAAAAAAAAAAAGACCTTTAAATATGACTATCTGACTTTTACAACTAGAAAGGAAAACTAATTAGGCCATGGCACATTCCTCCAAAATAGTTATTTAAATACTAACTTGAAGCCTTCTGGACTAAACTGATCATTGACGGCTTTGACAGGCTATGTAACTGCTACAATATAACAATATGGTGGGAATAAGAAAGAAAAGAGCCATGAAGCAGATTGGCTATTTTTCATTCCACTAGAGAACTTACAGAAAAAAAGATTAGATGTCAGCAAGAATGGTAGAATAAGGACTCGCAAAATCCACTCCACCATAAAAAAAAAAAAGAACATTGGAAAATTATCAAAACCAACTTTCTTACAACTCGGGGGATTAACCAAATGCTTACAATAATTCAATAAGTGTTTATTCAAGAAAAAGCACTAAATCTGATTAAGGAGAGTGAGTTTCACAGCATCTTATCTCACTTCTTCCCATCACTCTTTCCCTACCTCAGCAGTAATCTTGAAAACAAACAGGTCTGCAGCCACAGTGAAAGCACAGTCAATACTGAAGGGGAGTAGAGCTACCGAAGAGCCCCGTTCCTAGAAAACTCACTATTTGACCTGTCTGGCCTTTCTCTGGAAATTTCCACTCATCGGACTTTAACTAGCCAGACCCAAAGTTTGCTCAGTGAAATCAGCCCCTTTTCCAGAGGCATTTTAAAGGCTATCAAAACAGACTTCACAGAGATTGTCCAGGAAAGTTACCATATTAGTTTCCTTTCCCTTCCATAACAAATTATTTCAAAGTTGGTAGTTTAAGCAACACAAGTGTATTATTTGTGGGTCAGAAATCAACATGGCTTCACTGGGTTAAAATCAAAGTTGCAGAAGGACTCATTTCCTTTCTGCTGGGTTAGAGGAAAACCTATTTCCTTGCCTATTCCAACTTTTAGAGAGGACATATATTCCTTGACTTCTGGACACCTTCCTCCATCTACAAAGCTAGTAATAGGGAAGCTCAAAAGACCTCACATCCCATCATTCTGAATTCTGCCTTGATTTTCTACTTTTCATGACATGTCTGGGTCCATCTAGATAATCCACAATAATCTCCCTATTTTAAGGTCCACTGATTGACAACATTAAATTGAACTAAAAAAAAATACTAAAGGAAGTCCTTCAGACTGCATAAAAAGAGTGACTTTAATACATATAAAAAGTAAAGGGCACTGGTAGAGGTAATGAATAGTAAAGACAGAAAACTGTACATTTTGCATGTAACACTGTTTTCTCCTTCCTGACTAAAAGACAATAACATAAATCAATAATTATAAACATATATTGACAGGCACATGATGAATAAAGATGCAATTTGTAATTTGTATGACTATAACAGCACAAAAGAGGAGAAAGGGAAGGGATCTATATAGGAGCAAAGTTTTTATAATACTGAAACTAAATTAGTATTAATCCAAAGTATTAACATTATTAAGTTGCTAATTGTAATCCTTAGGGCAACCACTAAAAATGAACTCAAAAATATGGAATAAGAAGGAATAAGATAAACAAAATGGTACACAAGAAAATATCTATTTAACACAAAAAGGTAGCAATGGAAGGACACAAAAACAACACATACAAACACACATATAAATGGTAGACATAAATCCTAGCATCTCAGTAATTACATTAAATGCAAACATATTAAACACTCTAAGCAAAAGGCAGAAGAGACCAGCAGAGTGGATTTAAAAAGCAAAAGAAAAATAAAAACATGACCTAGCTATGTTGTCTACAAGTGACCCACTTTAGATTCAAGGACACAAATAGGTTGAAAGTAAAGGGATGGAAAAGATAAACCATGCAAACAGTAAGCAAATAAAAATGGAGAGGCTACACCAATATAAAAAACAAAACAGATTTTGAAAGAAAAATTGTTAGTAGCAACCAAGTAAGATATTTTTAAATGACACAAAGTATCAATTTATCCAAAATATGTGACAATTATAATC